TGGTGCCAGACTTGGTGCTTTGGTGTGTATATGTTTTCCATCCATGGTGCTTAAACACAGTAGGAAGTTCCATATTCTCCAGAAAACCTGTGCTATGTCCCTCAGGAATAATCAATGACATGATAATACAGCCCAATCTGTAACTAGCTGCCATATAATGTAAAAAGTCACAGCCAGCCTTTCAGAAACATCCACAGGAGCCCCATTTTTGTGTTTGATATGAGAAACAATGCACCCGTCTGTATAGCAGAACAATGTGTATCTTTCCTAGTATAAACAGAACAGTCTGTGCATCTGCTGCTCGCTTTCAAAATCCACATTGGTCTGCACACACAGATGCAAAAAGCATGAATTGGCCTGCCCCGGTTGATTATGATTTAACAGAAGAGTGACATCTTACATCGTTGGACTGAAAGAGCCTGGTCATCGCAAAGAAAGCCTCCGTGGCCTCTGTGGTCCCAAAATGCTCTCCCTAAATGAGTACAGACATGGGAGAGACAGAGAAAGTTAAGACCTTAAGATGGGTGGACAGACATCAACTCAACACATGAAAAAATAATAAGCAACATGTTGTGTTAAAGAACGTTTACCTGGTTGAGGAGGTAAATAATCTTGGTGAGGATGTGGAGGCATCTTCTAGGATTGATGGGGGTCTCATTGAAGATACGTGCCTGTCAACAAGAGGAGACACTTTAAAGTATTTCAGTAAATAGGAGAGCGTATTATTTTGTTAATGCAATACCAAATGAAGGCGTTACCTCCTGCAACACAGCACTCTTCTCCAGATGCTGGAAAGGGTTAGACCCACTTCCTAAATGTCAAAACAGCAGAGTTAGAAGACGTCTAATAAAACTTTGTCTTACTAGTCTTTGAAACTCATTCACAGCCCAAAAAACTCCCATCTAAGAGTTCACAACATCTTACTCTAATATTAGTAAGTAACAAACGCACACATGAAAGCTGCAACGATTCATTGATTAGCTGTCAACTAAAATTATTAATCAGTTATACAGTCTCCATGAACTAGTCAGTCCTACAAGCTTCATCCATCTATACTATATATCATCTATATCGTATTCTAAAATAACGCAGCTGTGTTAGAGCAAAACTAACATCAGACACGACAATATCCAGCTGACATTGCCTAGCTAGCAATGCTAACATACAGAGCTAACGCTACATTCAGGAAACCACACTGGCGTTCATGTGTCAACAAAATACATTAGCTAGCAGTTTGACTGTAACTGCAACTCAGTTCGTTGCTGCTCCATTAAAACTACAACTTCATGTCCACAAATGTGTGTGCAAAACGAACTGTCAGGTTCACTCTGCAGATAGCGTTAACTTCAGCTGGCTAGCTAGCAGGCTAACATTAGCTAGCGTCCAAAGAGTCCGACGTCTTGTCAGTGCAGTCAGGAGGTTTAGTTTTTCGAACGCTGTCTATATATAAAATAATAAGTGTCCAGTCTTACCAGACTCTTCGTCTTTCTTATCAAATTTTTTAATCATTTTTGAAGGAGTGCAGCAGACGGATGAGGGCTAAAGATGCTCTCAGCCTCGGAGAGAAGAAGCTACTTCCACGTAGCCAAAATGAAAACTGACTTCCGGCTGCGGCGTCCACGTCGACGGAACAGACGTCACACCGAGTCTGCGCAGTGAGCGGCAGGGGGCGCTGCTGCCACATTATACAGTCTGTGGACATTTATTTCACATCTCATTCATTGTGACCAATGATTGGTGAGCCCAATATCACGTTTGACAAAAGTTCATTTTTTATTCACAATAATTTATAGTAAGCATAAACAGCTGGTGCAGGGAAGTAAGGCTCAGCTGTTCTTTGTAACTTTTTATTCACTCAGGGAAAATCGATTAAACACCATCTAAGAGCTTCACGAAAAAGTGGACTTCTCTTTTTGGTTCTTGAACACATTTCACCAACACCACAACTTTTCTCCAAATGCAACTCATGGGTGCGACCCAACAACACACAAAAACTGGTTCATCCTGAGGATAAAACCCCCAAAACACAGGATGAGCAACTTTTTTTATCCAGTCCAATGCAGCAAAGAGTGCACAGACCTATAGGGGAGAATACACAGCTGCTCCAAAGGCATATAGCCAAACAGAGATGAGTCAGCTCCTCAGGACAAGACTCAGCAGTAAACTTACATCTGAAGAATAAGGGACACTCCTTTGAGAACAACAATGCTTGCATTATGGACAGAGAAAACCATTTAAAAGAGAAGTTATGGAAGTCATCATGTCAAACTGGCATCTCTGAACAGAAGAGGGGATATATGGCACCACGGTCAGGCACTTATAAGACAGTCTTGAGATCTGCCCAAGTGAGTTTCACCACCTTTAATATCTTGAGTCACATACAGTCTACAGTCACACCTGACCTGGCAGCTTCACAGCCAGTTGCACCTCGAGGCCTGTGAGTCTTGGGTTGGTAGAGAGTTGGGGATGGCCATACTTATCAGGGACTCCACGTCAGTCGGTTAGAACTCTTGGATGAGAAGTGAAACATCTTCAAGAACCAAAAAGGACGGTCCTGATGGCTTTTTACTGAAGCTCCTGGTATTACCATGACCTGAGAGTCTATACAATCAAAAAACAATATACCAGGTTGAATGCATGGATATTTAGGATAAAGCCCTTCTTTCTCTCAAAACAAAACAAATAAAACACAGTCAATATACAGGCACTAACCTGAGCTGACCTGCTACAACAGCAAAAATGACCTCTGACAGTTTCATCACATGTTCAGAAAAGCTTCAGAAAAGCTAAAAATGTGTTTTATTTTATTTCAGTTTGTGTCATGCCTTTGTGTTGTCAGACAAATGGGCTCAGTAAACCTGATAGTTTGGGGTCCTGGAGCAGTTGCTCGCTTAGTAATTCAGCCTTGTCGGTATGAAAACATGTTCAGAAGATAAAAAAACAAAACACAGAATATGACCCAGTATGCGAATTACAATAAGAGTAAAAAAAAATTAAAAAACGGACACAGTTATTGATATTTGCAGACCCAGCAGAGTGACCTGTTGGCTGCACGACTTCTAATCTGATTCTCAACCTGGGTGTAGTTAACAGAAATGACCACAAGGTGTCGACATTGTTCCGTTGTCTAAAGTGTGGTCTGAGGCAGGTGAACTCTTTAACACTTGCTTCAGGCTTTTGTATATTTTTGGAAAAAAAATATATAAGTGACTAAAAAAAACCTGACATTTCCTGACTTCAGCTGCATAACGATTACTAAATAGGAGTAATTAGATTCTGATCTCATCTGATATCATCTTGGAGAGTAATGCTGGTATACATCGTCGTATCACTAAATAATCGCTTTGTTTAACATGAAGACAAACTTTAATTATGCAGTTGTGTATCCACTTGTTAAGTAGTAAAGATTATGATTTGTAAAGTGGGACGTTTCACAAATTAAAAAAACAAGCATTTTAGTGCCCTCTGGTGGATGAAGTATGTGATTGCATAACCTTATAAAGTTTCTATTCCTCAAACATGTCTTGTCTTTGATGCTATGCAGTGATTTGCTTGTTGGCAGACAGTGACACACATACATGTAGGATAAAATAACCTTGGTTCATGTTTTAGCTCTGTGGATAATCAAACAGGGAAGGGACAATCAGTTCTAGGAATATTTCATGGAGGTCATTGTTCAAAATGTTGCATAACAAGAAGCCAGTGTCTGTAGTTACATCTGCTTTATTTGAGGAAAAATAATCCTTTATTTTGAGTATAAAAATAAGAGACATCTGATGAACACATACATTCCCATGCATTTGCATTTTACTGTGATCTTGCAGATGATTTGTACAGTATTTCATTGTCGGTGTTTTTTTTCTTCTTTTTTTTCCACTCTTGGTGCTGAATCTGGAATCATTTTAGGCTCCCATGTGATCTTGTGAAAAAAACTTAATGAATAATAAAAAAATAAAAATAAAAAATGAAGCAGCAAAGAGAAAAATAAAATCCTGAAATAAGACATGGTATGAAATCTAGTGTTTGAAGTCTGCAAAACATTTCAGAGGATATTTGGCTGATAATAGAAGAAAACATCTGATAGTGATGACTTCTTTGTTCTTCTAGTTTAGTCCAGTTCTTTCAATTTGATGATCTGGGGTGAACAAATCTCATTAAAATTCATTTGAGACCAAAAATCTGAGGGCTTCATTTTAATTATTCCTGCTTTAAAGTAACCGATAGCCACTGTAATAATAACCAAACATTGAAAATATAAAGAATAAAATACAAAAATAAATGAATTTAGCTCAGCTTTTTTTCAGATTTCATAAGAATCTGCCAAAGGTGAGATGAATCCACCTGTTTCCAACCCAAAATTGTGCACATCAAATTGCCAGTCATGTTTATAGAAAGATAATGACTTTGTCCTTGTTGCTCCTGCCCTTAATCTGTCTTGGTTTAAGACACAGTTTGTTTAAAACTAATAAATTATTCTCACCACAAAGACAAAATGTTAAATATTAAAATTAAATAAAGATTTAAGTAAAACTGAAATAAAGAATAAATATCTTTTTTTCTGATGGTCAGTCTGCAGTTTACAACAAGAACAAGTCAGTAACAACTTACTGCCTCAGTTTTGCCTCATTTATCAGCCAAATGTTGTATCTTCTGTGAGTTTGAAGGTGAATTTTAAATAAAAAATAATCATCATATTTTTCTTTAGTTCCAATTTCTTTGAAATTTTTTGTAGAATAAATCTTGTTTAGTGACGATTTTCCCAGGACTTTGATATGGAGACTGAAAAAAAGATGTTTAACATGAGAGCAACTGAATCACTGCAACATTCTAACTTTTTTTTTTCTTTTAACTTGTATTGAATGGACTTTTTAAAGAGAAAACCGCTCTCTTGGGGGCATTAAATGAACGTGAAGACTGAAAATAAGAAGTGATTGATTACATTTGGAGAGGCGAGGCCAGCACTGGTCATGGCTGTCTGTCAAAGGAAAGTTGTCCATGTCTCATTTTCTCCGTCCAATCTGCGCCAGGAGACGCGCGTTCTCCGCCGCCTTGGCGCGCAGGTTTTTGGCCTTTGCCACGTCGAAGAGGACGTTCATGATGTTGGTCGGGACGTCCAGGGACAGCGTCAGTCTGCTCCGCCGGTCTCCTTTGCTGCTGTTGCGGAGCATCTGCCCTCTGAGCTTGGTCCGGCTCATGAAGCGGTAGTTTGCGGGACTTGAAGTCCTTTTTTCCCGACTGGACTCAGCAGATGAGGAGGAGGAAGAGGAAGAGGAGGAGGAGGAGGAGGAAGGGGCGAGATACTCCTCGGACTGCAGCAGGGACCCCCAGCCGTCCACAGGAGAGTAACCCGGATCCGTCTCGTCGCTCCGGAGCCCGACCGCCAGCTGGTCGTCGCAGAGCAGGTCGGCGCGGCTCTGGTAGAGGCGCAGGCACAGGCTGGAGGTCGGTGCGCACAGGACCGAGAGCAGCAGCAGGGTCTTCAGGGACGACAGCATGCTGTGTCCTCTGGTACCAACACAGATATTACACATATTTCATCAGAAACATCACTATTAACTTCAAAGCTAGTGGCAGAAACGGAGCTGGAATGAACTAGATCTTAAGATTTACCCTTCAAAGTAGATCAAGTCAACTGAAATCCGTGTGAGTTTAAGAGTCTAAGAGTTTATTTTAAGGTCTATTGATCAGAGCAAGTTTTGCTGGTTTCTGCAAAAAAGTGTTTGCACAACTTCAATGCAAACAAAAATGCAATTAGATCACAAAAACAGAAGGAAAAAAATGTCCTTGCAACTTACCACTCGGGTCCTTTAATAAGAAAATGCACTAAAGAAGGTAAAGAGAAGCCAACAAGCAGAAAATCCTCTCCGATGAGAAATCCGGATAAACTGAGGGTGTGTGTGGAGGTCAGCAGAGCACACCGTCTGACCAGCAGTGTGTCCTGCTCTCCATCCCACTGCATTCATTTAGTAGCAGCCATCAGACTGCACATCTACGCAGCAACCACGTCATCCCGCGGACATGGAGCTCCTGCTCCGAGCATCCCATTGGCTGAGACACAGTGATGTAAAGGTAAGAAGTGATTCTAACAAAGTTGTGACCTCCCGATGGAAGATATGAGACATCACGACTGCGAAAAGCTTGTTTTTTTCATGCACCTCCAGAGTCTTTAGTATGTTTCACATGTATAAGAAACTTGTTGTTCATCACCTGAAGCTCTGTGGAGCAGTGAGCAGCACTTCAGCACCACGGCCAGCTCCCAGTCACTCAACTGCTGCTTCTCAGCTGTTTGGATTTGATGCTGTTCCATCACATGTGAGAGTAAATTAAATAATATATGTGGTTTTTGGACTAGTAGTCAAATGAAGCATTTTCTCAGTTTTTAATGAGCCAATTCTGCAATAATAGACATTAATAAGTCAGTGAATGCTCAGAGGTGTCCACCTTTCCTCTGTCAAAGCTGAGAGCAAAGTGATGATTCATGGTTTAAAGTAATTTAATTTATATTGTATGAGGAATTAAGCTTAAAGCAACTGAATGAATGACCTGTAAGTCAGTGGTGATTGGATGTAAAGTGCTGTAAATGCAAAACAAAAAGAAAAACTGGTCCAAATAAGCTCAGTTGGCCAGGCTGAAGGAAATCAGACAGATCAGAGTAGATCCTCAGTCATCCAGGTCGTGGTAATCCTGAGAGGCAACTGGACTTTTGGTTCTTGCAGAAGAGGTGAAACATCTTCAAGAACCAAAAAAAAGGTCCAGTTTCCTGAAGCACTTAGGAAATCAAACAACTCAACTAGAAGGCAACCTGTAAAGAAAACGTACAAACAGAGTCATTGGTTGTCACATTAATGAACATTAGATGTTCGCAGATTTCGGTTGAGCTGCTCTGAAAAACCTCATCCACAAGAAAAGGGGGTCACATGAAGAACAGTCTCGATGAACTAATGAGGTCGCAAAAAACACAAAGTAAACCCCAGACAGAATTTACAATCAAGGATGGCAACCAATCTATAAACTCTGAGTTAAAATATGAATAATATTTAGGTCATGAGTGACACTTTATAAGCTGCTATATTTCCTCATAGAGCTGAATGTCTCTAAAATTAAGTTATTTATACTGAATTAAATTAAGCTGAGTTTCTTCTGGAATTCAGCTATGATGCAAACATAAAACAGGGACACAATATTTTTATAATAACACTATTAAAAGTCAGATTTTCTGTAAAGTCCCTTTAATACTGCTGTAATGCCTCCATATTGTCTCTTAAACACATATTGCTCAATCCTTTCAATAGAGACACTGAAAACATGCGAGGTAAACCGTATACAGCCATGAACAAAAGTTTACATGTGTATCATTGAGGTTCTTTCTTGAGTTTTTCTAGAACTACATTTAAACTGGCTCAGAGGAGTCACAGCTGTAGTCGACTGTAATCACTCACAACTGATGAACACAACTTTCTACATCAAAACTGACAGCTAACGTTGCTGTATGTATAATTTTGACCCAGCAGATTTTGTTACATTCCCAGAAGACCTATAATAGTTTTATGAAAGAACCACAATGTGTGACTGGTTTTTGTGTGTGACAAAAATGCTCGAGTTTCAATGATTCTATTATTGGAAGTCATAACAGTCACTGGCAACTCAAGACTGCCGTGACATACAGTCGTCCTCAAATTTATTCATACCCTTCCATTAAAGAAAATGCAAAATTCACAATAGTCACTCAAATAACTAGAAACTGAAAAAGTAATAATAAATAAAAATTTGCAAAATTATAATTTAGTGAAATAAGACATTGCTTTTGAGTTGTGGTTGAAAAGAATAGTTTAAAAAAAAAAACAAGCAAAACTGTCTCAGACAAATTAGAGCACTTTGCTGATGAGCAGTGAAATCAGAACACCTGTCAACAGGTGCTGAAGTCTGATGGAGAGTTACAGAAAACACTTGATTGCAGTGATTGGCTCAAAGGGTTGTTAAACAAAATATCATGCTTGTTTGCTTGTTTTTTTTCTTTTGTTATTTAAAAAAAATATTTCTGTTGAACCACAATTCAAAAACAATGTCATAATTTTCATAATTTGTTAAAAATGTATTATTACTTTTGTCAAGTTCAACTTATTTCAATGACAGTTGTTTTTTTGCTTCTTTAATGGGAGGATATGAACACATTTGAGGACGACTGTACATAGTCTTTACAAGTGTATGGAAACTTTTGTTAACAACTGCAGCTGCACAGATCAATGAATTTCTCCCATCAGATGTCTGAACCTGTTGATGTAGAGAGAAGGAGCTCAGGGGAAAAAAAAAAAAAGACTCAAACAAGTGAAAGACACCACATATATAAACCCACTGTGCATTATTCCAGCGCTGGATATATGGGTATTAATATTTCAAAAGAGGAACGATATCTGAGATATCTGGAGAACATTAATTAAAACACAGCGTGCATGTGACTCACGCCGTGGAAACCACCTGCAGCGACGCACGTTACAATGTCAGAATGAAGAAAGAGCACGGAAGGAGAAAGAGGATCAGAGGGTGTCGGGTCAAGCTCTAATGAGCAACTTCATTAATGTGAATGTAGGTCTTCACAGCTGGAGTAATCATATTCTGTGACACATTGTGCTGAGCGACATCCTCCCACTCCTGCTTCCTCCGCAGTTGATCTCTGAAATAAAATTACATGCCCCCATTCAACTTCAATGAAAAAATCACATGTTTGTTAAACTCCTGTTGGATTATGTTGCCGTCACTTGCTTGAATTAGGAGCTCCTCTGTTTCTAGGACTTCTACTCAGATGCTGCATTGATCACATGGTACATTCTGATATGAGACCTACATTTTACATTTTTGTTGCACTTAATTTTTAATAAGTAAAAAAAAAAAATCTACTTAAAGGTACAGATACTCCCACCTCTTTTTATTGAATTTATAATGTCCTGACACAGAAACTTCTCGAGCAACTTCTTGTCACTGATGTGATCCGACGTGAACACAATCACTTCTGCAAAGTTAGAAAGTTACTTATTTCAAATGACACATTTGTGTATCCGCTTTATGAAAATGATGTGTTTCTCTGCAGGAGAGTTTAGTCACATCAACATGGGATGACAGACGTGGGGTTGTTTGAACAAAGTGGACCCACACACTGCTAATGACTTAAATTTGCTCGGCCATAGAGTTCCAAACTTTTAAAGTTAAATTGAGGACATAATATTCAAGTCATTGTTCTTTATGAGACACATTTAAATCAACAGCTGCTGTGTCAAAGTGCTTTCTGGTAGGAAAATAATACTGGCATCATGAATTATCCTTACCAGCTCAAAAATTAAAGGTTAAGACTCTACAGTGTTATTTATGGTGTGAATGTACCTGAGTAATTTATGTATTAAAGAGTAAAACCCGACAAAAAAAAATAAGTAAAATTCAACTTTTCTTGATAGTTATGTAATGACTAATCCAGGAGAAAAAATATGATCCTACAAAAAGTATGCATGAAAACCCGACAAATTCAAGGATTTCCAGGATCCCCTCTGAGCAAGTTTTGCTGTCATAGTCATGTTCTGTAGCCAAGCAAGCACACACAGTGTTTAAGCAAGCAAAGCAATTTAAGACATCTGTGGACAACAATTGGGAGGAGTCACTATTAAATTAACCTCTTAAGACCTGAGTTCTTGTTTGATACACATTTTTTAATTTCTTTTTGTTCTTTGATCTGATCAAAGAGCAAAGAGAATTAAAAAATATAAAGAAAATAAAAATAAAAATTAACTGCTGTGGTAAGATAAGCCAAAATGTGATGTCCATGCATGTGGATACCAGGTCTTAAGAGGTTAAGTTATATTTCATGAAAACTCAGTGCTATTCAGTGATGTCAACAGCCCTGCTTTATCCCAAACAATAGAAAATAGGGAGGTCTATCTGCCTCTTGGATCCCGTGATGCTGATGGCAGACTGTGAAAACTTAAAGCAGCGATGGGTTTTCCTGTCCCCTCAGCATGGTGTTTGTTTTCCAGTGATTCAAATTAACAAAAAGGAACTCGACAACAACACCCAAAAAAAAAGGATTTTGGTGTGTTTGGTCACTTGGTAATCATCATCATCATCATCATTCTGCATCATAACTCACAGCTGTGTATTGCACTGTGAGACTGTGTACTTTCCTTGGATGTTCATTTACAACAATAATATTTTACAGATGTATTTACTCATGTATTTAGGGGCTTGATAATTCCTGTTAAAATGTTTATACGAGTGATTTGACAGCTCAAGTGAAAGCGTTTTTTAAATCTTTAAATCTATCTTGCAGATCTGTGACGCAGCGTAACACGTAGGAGAACACTCCAGCCCAGAATCGTGACTAATATGAGGGAAGCCTCCGAGCGCTTGGTTGCGAAAGACTCGTCTGTCAATGTGAGGCGACTAATTTTAGGAATCAACCGGAAGATCAGTAAAAATTTTGAGAGAACTGCTGACAAGAGCATTCGGCTCCACCCAAAAAAACAAACAAACAAACAAATAAGTTCAGAGTCTGAGTTGAGTCGTGCATTTTCGAGTGTTGCACTGCCAGATAAAAAAAAACTTTGAGTGTGTGCTGCCCCCATATCTACACCCACGCAGGAATCCCCCGCCACTGCTGAGCCGGTCTGATGGAGAGTCCTCTAAAACAGTCCCTGCGTGATCTCTCACACTGGGCCCCTGTTGGCACCTCATCTGGCTCCCAGCCTGACCCACAACACCCCCCGCCAAAGGAACATATGTAGCCGTGGAGGAGGCAGCACGCAATCAGCTCCTTATTTTTGCAGCAAAAACATAAGAAAGGTGAGCGTTGCATAAAGAGACACACTGTGGAGAGACTGAGAGGGAGACAGGAGACGGGGGAAAGAGAGATCACAAACGTAAAGACGGATTTAATCTGTCAGTAGTGTCACGCTTTTAACATTCAGAAACTCAGTCAGTGTCGGTCCATCTCAGACGCACATTATGGGAAAAACAACTGAAAACATCACTTTTTTTCCAAGTCAATAAACAACTGTTATTATAAAATATATAAATAAAAGCAATACAAAATGCAAAACATACATTATGTACAAAAATCTGCATCATGTCTGAGGGTTGCATCTCCAATACTGAGCGGCCGAGGAAGAGTGAAGTTTATTATGATAAAAAGTGAGCAGATCTCTTTTGCATCAACAACATCGTCCACCAAAACCTCTTCAGAGCAGGATATTTCAGTCACTGGACTAACTGTCAGAAGGTATATTTCCTCTGTGATCTGACCTGGACGCCCGCCCTCTGCTCTCCATCCCACACCGGCTCAGGCACTCCTGTCTGGAGGAGAATCGGTTTTGGTTTCCTCCGCAGCCCCCGAACACAAACGGCCTGCATTCCCCCGATTGGGCGTGAAAGTACCAGAGCAGGACGTAGTCTGAACAGGACCCTTCTGACATCGGCTCCAGGCAGCGGTCTGTAACTGAAATTACAATATGAGGCATTTAAAAAACAGATTAAAGCCGCACTAAGAATGGAGATGCTGGACGTGTTTTCCACTATTTTAAGTGCTTGAAAAGGTTTTTATTATGTTTTAGGAATGTTTACCATCATGGCATCTGAGTAAAGTTTTTAATAATGATGCACAATATTAAAATTTCTGGCTGATACTGATATCCAATAAGATTTCTGATGTCGTCAATAACCGATATTATGTCGATATTCAATTTTTGTTCACACTAAAAAAATGAGTGTAAGTAAGCACTGTGAGAACGTGGAAACTATTCACAAGAAGCCCATACCAAGTGAGACCACATCATCTTCTTTATTACGTAACAAAAGTAAAACATATTTAAACATAATTTAACATATTTAAGTCCAGGACCATTTAAGTAGAAACATCTGTGAAATAGCAGCAATATCAAATGTAGAGACGAAGGCACTAATGTTAGACAATCATCGGTTTTTCACATCGACCGAATTTTTTCATCGGATCGATACCGATATAAGGGAAAAAACGTTAATATCGGCCGATACCGATGTGGTCGCTGATATATCGTGCATCCCAAGTTTTTAATGCACTAAAAAAAAACATTATCAACATGGTTTCAGTATACTAGTGTGCAAATTGCTTCTTGCCTTACACAAAGAAAACAACACCCCCATTTAAAATGCTTTCCAACAACTCTAAAGTCATCTTTTTATATTTTATTCGTTAATTCAAAGAGCGGTTAGTTTTCATTGTGCAGCTTATCCCATAGTTTATTATAAATGGGAACTATAATAGTATTTTTCCACAGTGTTAAGCCTGATTGGTTCCATTATAACATTATTCAACCATATTTATATTTAATTTAATTGTTTCTACACAAGTAAACATTCTTCAATAAACATTAAAAAAGCAGAAAATTGCACATTATGTTAAACAAAGGCTAGAAATGTTTTTTTTAACTACGGAAAACTACATTTTTTTCATTTCATGATACTTTTTAAAATAATTTTTTTTTTTTTTTTTACAGTGCAAACAAAAACTGTGAAGCAGTCATTGAAATAAAGGGGTTTTATTGCCAAACCACACTCAGCACTCAGGATTTGAACCTCATCATAAACTTCTACTGACCTGGCAGCATGTCCAACTTCTGCTTGGTGACTAGTTAACAAGATATAATATGTAACAGACAGCTTAAAGAACCTGAGAGCTTTGTAGAATGTAATATTTATCCAGGTTACCTGCTCCACTAGTCGGAACACCTGTCATCTCTAAAATATTAACAACACAGAGCTACAACTCATCGCATTTAACTCTCAGGAAGTGAACGTCACCAAAATTCTGGAATATACCTTTAATATGCCTCTCTTTTCTGACAAACACAAAGTTTATTTACTAAATTCTTCATTTCTCTTCAGATTCTAACACCCAAACATTTATTACATAAGGTCTTTTCTAGCTTATCTTCCTCTCCCACCTCGTGCTCTAAAAAACTTCAACTCATTATTCATAGATGATGTGAAAACATAAAGAGAAACATAGAAAAAAAAGAAGAAGGGTTTGCCATACAGATGAGGGGAAAGAAGCGGGGAGGGACGAAGATAAGACGAAACTCAGTTGTCTTGGCCACTCACCAGCAGCGTTTGGTCCAAATACCCTCCTTTTCCTCCTCTGTCCCCACTGCACAGACCCTCCCTCGACAGAATCTGAAGCCAGAAACAAAACCAATTAGAACTTTTACATTTCAATGAATTCAGCCATCAATGACCAAGAGAGGCCCACTTTCGCAGCACTTAATGAGTCCCAGAGATTTTGACTCATCATGGAACCTCCATTCACAGACTTTTGGAGCTCTTTGTACAAACTACAAACACAGAATTCACATCCTGCCAACTGTGGATGAAAGACAAAATGCCCAAATATCATTAAGAAGTATCGATAGAGCACTGTCTTGTTTTGCAGTTCTTTGTTCTTCAAAAGTTTCTTTTCATCTGATCTGATCAAACAACATCAGTGATATATATTCAGAAAGTGAGCAACAAACACTCGGTTCAGACGGACACACTTACGTCAAGGGATTTACCTTTAATAGCAAATGGTTGATTTGATTTTGAATTCAAGCCAACGGGTGCTTCTGTTGGGTAATCCCCCTCATTCACAGATGAGGATGCATGAACATCAGCAACAAACTCAAGGAGGAGGCTGGGGTTGGAGACTGACAATACTGCCGGAGCAACAGTTCTAGAGTCTGTACAATAAACCTGTGTTAATATGAAATGACGGCTGAGCATGAAGCCTGGATGAAGCATCTGGAGCCAACCAGCTAATGGAAGCATGACCTCAGTGCTCTGCCTGAAGCAATTCTATTCTTCATTAGGTTAATAATCGAGATTTTTATACAAACACATCAAATGACAATATGAAAACAGTAATGTTTATATTAAAGGGGTTGCTTTGGAGAGATTAAACTAAACTTTGCTGTTTTGGATCTCTCTCTCCACTTGATAGGATTTAGTTAGAGTTAGAAGAGAGCCAACATCGGTTACATTTGCCACAAATATGACTCACAATTATTGGTCATTTCCTTCCATAACTGCTGAATGTGTGTCAGTAACTGTGCAGACAAGCTGAAACTGTTCAGAGGGTGATTGTTTAGACTCCACAAAAAACAAACAAACAAAAAAAACAATTCATATTTGTGTATCAAAGTTGAATATTTAGAAGTTTTTCCATGAAAAGTGTCTTTTCCTACAGAACCGACGGAACTTTAAGTAGTTTCTGTTACATTTTTGCTCACTGTGGGATCATTTTTCACTGCAATATAAAGTCCTGCACCTCTATGGGAACAGCACAACCATGACTAGAAGTAGTTAAAAATGACTGCTGGGAAATTGATCATGATATGATTTGTTATCTATTTGATCGGGTTTCTGACTCTGCTAAATGTTGTAATTTTGCTGATTTCTTAAAGATAACATGCCTTTCCCAGTATTGGGTTTTAGACTTCAGAGGGTTAAAATGACTCAGATGTTGCCTTCTCCATGCACGTTAACAGGATTAGTTGTTTATGCTTATTACATATAAAACCCCAAAAGTCTGAATCCATGGTTTTGAGAGTGTCATCAACACTGTAGTTTCAAATTGGAAAAGCTCAGCCATGGCATTGACTGCTTATTTTGCTCATGATGTGTCTTTTTTTGCACATAAAATCGCTATATGGACAAAAATCTGGACTTGAACTGGGTGGGGTCTTTAATCTACATTGCAAAATGTTAAAATATGGAGATTTTATCGAATAAGGAGATGCTGCTGCCTCATGTTGAGTCATTTCACAAAGTGCGGAGCATTCTGAGGCTTTGACTTTTTGCACTCACACAGGTGAGTCTAGCATGTCGGGGTTCGGTGTTTAAGCCTAATGATAGACTGTTTGAGGTGCAAGCAGAAGAAAAAACATAAAAGAGCTCCTCCAGTGAGATTAGTTAATATATGTGTGTGCTAAATGGACACCGGGCATCTTACTTTTTGTGCTGCTATGAAATAGAGTTCTTGTCACAACACAGACGGTGAAATGCGCCGCAGAGGACGCACAAGTGGCAATTTTCATTAAACTCTTTTGAAGTTTTCAAAGTAAAGTGTACGTTTTGAACTGTGGCCCTCTGTGCTCGAGCACAGTCATTATTTCCGAACAAAGAAGGAGCTAAATGTCACCGTTATACATCTAATGATTGGAATTTATAAATACACAAGCTGACATTGACACTGGGCAATGACAGCCTGCTTTGATTAGTCGTCTGCTTCATTTACCTGAAGCAACAATGACAATAGTTCGGGATGCAGAAGGCAATTTCTGCCCGGAGCTGTGTTCACTAATGAGCTTCATGACGGCTGTGATTTGTTGATACAAGCTGACCCTTTGTTTAACTTTCTGGCTGCTTTTATGTCGTGATGCTGACGACCTCAGTCACAGCAGAGCTCTACTCACAATTATGAGGCAAATTCGTCTGGATTTCTTTTAATCGCCAAAGAAATATAATACTCTCAGTCGCTGAAATGTTATTAACAAGCTAATAAGCAACACAAAGTGACAAATAAATATCATGTTGGGTCTTTCAGAAATGCTCAGTGACCAACATGAGGGTTCAATAGGATTTACGTCAGGTGAGCAGGAGGGGGCAGGTCATTACTCAGTCATCTTCGAGGCCTTTGCTCTCTCGCTAGCAGAGAAGCACTTGGATGCATGAGGTTAAGTGTTGTCGTGCATCAAGATCGTAGCCTCCTTAAATGTTGCAGACTTCTCCCTGCTTGGAAAAAAGATCTTTCCACAGACAACCTGCAGGTTTAAGAATTGATTTTCAGTCCATCTTCCCCCTGAAAAGGTTCAACAAGCTCATTCTTACTGACAGCAGCCCAGTAACCCTCCTCCACCTCGCTGGCACCTGCTGCCCTGCGTCCATTCCCGACCCAGCCGGGGGATCCATCTGTTCCACCGAGAGCCACTCTCATCTCATCTGTCCATAAAAGCTTTGCCTTCAGGTATTTCTTGGCTAAATCTTGACACTTGAACTTGGGAATTTTATTCGGTGGTGTTCATGTTTCAGCCTTTTTTTTTGCCTTTTATTCTCGCCTCTGAGCTCTTGACACCTTGTAGGTCACATATCCAGTTAGGTGGAATGCGGTGACGATGGAGGATAATGGGTTCAAGTATTTTGCAGTTGATTTCTTCTTGATGCATTTCTTTGCAAACCTGTTGACCTCTTGTAAAAAAAAAAGAGAAGAAAACACTGACTGGTGGTCACGCCTCAGTAGTTTAGCAATTTCAAGCGTTGCATGAGGAGTCTGAAAGGTATTTTGCAGTTTGTTGACTTTCCTGTGCCAGCTGTATCCCCCCCGTCCCCATTTCATCTGATGTAGTAAAAGTGGTGAACAATTATGCACACATCCATCACCCTCTGGCATTACACAGACATGTATCACCTTGAATTGATGAAACACATTATGTATTCAAGTTGGGATGGTTTGGAAAATGTGTATAGAACTAAAGACAAGGGCGGAATACTTGAAAACAGTGTATTGACTATGTGTTGTTTTTTCTTACCACGTTTGCCAAGTTGACAAAAAACAAGGACCTGGACGTGTCACATGCCACAAAGATCCTTAATTTACCTAAGCTGTCTGACAGTCAGTCCAACAACACAGCAGTGAATACTAGAATATATGTTTTCCTCACATCTCTGTTTTCAACAAATGCATCCATGGTGTAGAGGTACAACTTTCACCCAGACTGCTTCTATCATTTCTTCCAGTATATTTTTTGCATTACCAGCAGCGTTGACCTAATCTCCATCATGCAATTGAGAGGAAGTATCAAGCTGTGACATAATCAGCCACACAGAAGGAGATCCAGATATAGTGTGCACCTTTATCTTAGCTTTTACATTTGTCAGTTTTTTTGACCATGGCAGCTAACTATAGCAACATGATTCTGGCTACAACAGGGTGTTGAATCCAACCAAACCACGGGTTAAATTGACTGTGCAGACAAAAAGAATGAATCAGTGGGCAGAAGGGACGTCACAGTATCAGTGATACTACCATACTGCTATGTTCTGTTGTTGGAACACCTCATAGTTCTGTTATAATTCTGTTATAAAGCCATCATCATCATCTCACAGCATCACACAGCACATTTTAACTGCCTGCATCACAGCTGCTCCACATAAGTTTGATCTATGTCGCCATTTAGCCACACACTTGGTCACACTCTGTCTGAGGCATCTGCGTGTTTAGCCAGGAGCTCTGACTCTGCCGAGTGTGTTGGCATGTTATGTTGCGTTATAGTATTTTTACCAGTACGGTTTGGTAGGATCTCATCTTCTTCAAGGATCATAGGGGCAGGACTGGTCAATTCTCTGATGTTTTCTCTGTATTCTTCCTCTTCCACTTCTTCACCGTCTTCGTCATGCGTTATGGGTGTCACTACATCTTCTGGCTCTTTTGTATTCTCATCCACTGCAATTGTGGCATCTGGATCCACAGACTTTACCATGAACTTGTATTCCAACCCTGCAATGATACAAATATGATACAAACGCTGACTGTACATGTATGAACACCAAATAAGAATACTGTTTTTAGTACATAAATTTTGTCTTGCACCGTATATCAACAACTTTTAAAATATGTATTTAGTGGAAAACTAAATAAAAACACAATTTCTCCCACAGTTCAAACTGCATCAGGTTGTCCTCCAGGACTACCCTATACTTTTCTACATTCATTTTAGACTTTACTTTACAAGCCTTCAGACCTGTTGGCCAGAGGCTCAAGCATCATGATGATGCTGCCACCACCATGCTTTGCAGTGGAGATGGTGTGTTTGTGATGATGTGCATTGTTTTGTGTCAACCAAACATAATGTCCAGTGTGATGGGCAAAAACCTTCATTCAAAGAACCCTCTTCCAGTTGACTTCAGTCTCCCACGTGCCTTTTAGTGAACTCTAGTTAAGTTTGAATATTAACTTTTTTGTCACTCTCCCATAAAGTTTTGACTGGTGAAGAATAGGTAACAGTTGTTGTCTGCACAGTCTCTCTCATCTCCACTTCTGAAGCTTGTAACTCCTCCAAAAGGAGTCATAGGAGTCTTGGTGGCCTCCCTCACTGCTCTCTTTCTTTCACAGTCACTCGGTTTTTGCAGACAGTCTCTTGACAGACCAACACATGTGCCTTATTCATTCTATTTCTTAATGATAGATTTAACTGGGACTCTAAGGGATATTCAGTCACCAGGAAATTCCCTTGTATCCATCCCCTGATTTATGCTTTTCAAAAAACTTTTCACTAAAGGACAGACCTCTTCTGCCTTTACATTTTGTGCTGAAATCACAAAAAAATCATAAGATTCAGCAAATTGGAACACATTTCACATCAGCCTCTTGTAGCAATTACAAATATTTGAGAGGCAATAGTGGCAACAATTCAAAGGTTCAAATGACATTTATATTACAAATTCATGTATAATCTTACCTAATGAGAGGAATAGAGTTTAATTGTACTTTAAACTGTGCTTTGAATCAAAATAATTCCTTTCATTTTAACTTTTTATTTACACATGTGCCTTCCTACTGTGTTGCGTCAACACGTCCTCAGTGACAAAGTTCTGACAACAAGCAGAATGATCCTTTTCGTGTCCTGTACGTGTAGTGGATTCTTGGTGAGACGTCTCTCTTAATGGCAGTGTCATGTTTGTGAATGGCTCTGCTGTCGCTGGCACCATGGAGCGTGTTCCTCTGAGAGAACATAACAGATGGCTCGACACACACGGGTGCCGTGCTGCTGCCACAGGAGCTCTTACAACAAATAACCACACGCTCACACTCACAATATGTAGGCCTGTCTAGAGCCACACGTTTACTGGCTCCAGGATAAATATGCAGAAAAGTACAAGCACACATAACTGTAAGGGGTTCCAAATGTACAAGTGCATAACACAACACCCACCAACCATGTGCACACTCAGGCACACTCTTACCACACTTTTCCACCACCTCCTGGGTGACGAGCTCCTTCACTTCTTCAGCCTTGAAAGACAGAAAGATTCAGAACTACTTAATGCCAGTAATCAACTATATGTTTATTTTAGTTGGGAGTGATTGTGTTGCTGTGTGAAAAAGACATACAGAGAGTCCAGGCTCTCCTTTCTCTCCTTTTGCTCCTCCAGTACCCACTGTGCCCTAAAGGAAAAACATAGATTAAACAATTCTTAACATTAAAATCCCACCAGTGTAATCCCACATGATAAAGAATGTGGACCCTCGCTGCTCTCTAATCAACATCTGCACAGTATTTAATCCTGCTGTCACACACAGAAGGGCCTGTCGTCCTGCCTGTTTTGGCTCATCGGGACTCCTGTTAGCTTTACTGCACATGCTGGGCAGAAAAGGTCCTTTAAGTACACAGAGTCTGGTGATCTCATGTAAAACCCAGCACCGATCTGCACCCTGTCACCAGGACAAAGGCTGAACCAGCTAGAAGAGTTTAAGTCTGCAGTGAGTATGCAGAGCCTCTAACTGCATGTATGAATTGTTTTGTTCTTAGCATACCACTCTTCTATAGCTTCTGCCATGTGGATAAAAGATATTCTTATCAATATATTTACATAAAAAATGGATTAGATGACTTTGTGTAACGTTAAAGGAATCACTCATTCTGGCAAACCCACAAACTCTGCAGTCCACCACATCTACACAGAGCTTTAAACTCACTGAACTCCAGACAGTTTCTGGGTGTTTTTTTTCCCCCATCCTGTCACATTTTTTGCTCACTGTGGGCTCATTTTCCACTGCAATATAAAGTCTTGCACTTATGTGGAAACAATAAACCCATAGCTTGAAGCAGAGAGAACTTAAGAAATGTCTTTTGCGTCACATGATGCAGTTTTTAAATCTACAAGTCATTAAAAAAAAGAAGAAAAAGTGGACTTTTTTTTCCCCCCAGGACCATCAGAAAGTTGAAAATTCAAGTATTGTATTTGCATTTTTAGTTTCTTCCTCTGATAAATGGCATTATTTAACAATTAGGGTTCAGACGGTTTTTGCTCATTGTTTTTTTTTCACTCACTGTTTTGGAGACCAAACCAGAGCAAAAAGCACAGTTAATATTGGACGTACATTTGCCAGATGAACTGAAATGACTTAGAATTACCGATACCACACCAGCTGGATTTGTAATTTGTTTTGAATCAGTTTTGCTGTGGCAATATTTTAGTGTTATGTTAAGTTTCTGCTTCCCTGATGTGACACGGTCATACTGTAGTTGTGAAAAAAAAGAAGTATTTTTAAAATGATTCTTTTCTTTATAATAAGTATGGAAAACAGGAAAGCCCCCTGTCAAAACAGTTACAGCAGCTAAAGAAGACGAACCTCACTTTCTGAACTATAAATGTACTCGGAATATATATGCATAGAGAAGTGAATCAAATTGGAATCTCACAGTCTGTCCTCTTTGTCCCGGTGTCCCTGGAGCTCCCCTCTGACACGGCTTCAATCGACCCCTCCTGCCTCTTTCTCCCTGTTCGACAAAAATCAGAGTGTACACAGAGAAACACATGTTCTTATACAACTCTGCTACGTCAAGAGGAAAATTGCAGCACATCTCATCAGTCACTTCTAAACAGTATGAAAGACAGACCGATTAGATGCATCCTTGGAATATCCTCATTAGAGGTTTCCAGCCACTCGCTGTCAACACGGAGAGTCTGGTAATTGTAGCTGAAAGGAGCTAATTGAGTAAGATATTATTTGAAAGCTGCAAACGGAAATAGACCTCTGCGTGTGTGTGTGTGTGTGTGTGTGTGTGTGTGTGTGTGTGTGTGTGTGTGTGTGTGTGTGTGTGTGTGTATTAACTGTGGATAAGTCTTTGTAGTATCGGTCGCTGCAGACACACAAAGAACATGCTGCCACTCTTTCGCACAGACATGGTGAAGACTGTAATCAAGCTCAGCTCATCCTCATTGTGTTCGGTCTCTGACTATCAGTTTAAATGACTGTACTGAAGAACTGCAAGTTCTCATCACAGACTAATATATTGTCCCTGAAAGACTCAAATATGATTATGATCCAACCCACCGAATAACTAAAGCAGAATTATTTCAAGACTCTGATATCACAGAGCTTTATAGAAATATCTTATCCTCAAGAGAAATGCTTTACTTGATGTTGTATTCACAATAGCCTCTAATTTAGAACTGCCATACCTAGGCTTTAGTTAAACAAGTGATTATACAGCATGATTCAGTTAAAGACTGTAGTCATCAGTTGTTGCAGAATGGGTATGCATCATTAGAGTAGTGATTCATACCTTGAGCTACACTAATGGGACGTACCTGCCTTTGAAAATGGTCAACGGGTGCTAAAAAAAACCTTACATTTTTCTGTCAATTATTAACAATTTACTGTATTGTTTAGGTCAAATTACTATATCTCAAGAAGACTGTGTTTCTAAGAAATGCAAATGATGATTTTGTATGATTTAAACTGAAAGTCCGATATGGTGAAAATCCATCCATCCATTATCTACACACCGCTTAATCCTCACTAGGATCGCGGGGGGCTGGAGTCTATCCCAGGTGACTTAGGGTGAAGGCAGGTTCACCTGGACAGGTCACCAGTCTATCACAGGGCTACACTTAGAGACAGACAACCAAGCACACTCACATTCACACCTACGGACAATTTAGAATCACCAATTAACCTCAACATGTTTTTGGACTGTGGGAGGAAGCCAGAGAACCCGGAGAGAACCCACGCTGCACGGGGAGAACATGCAAACTCCACGCAGAAAGATCCCAGGTATTCTCACCGGGGAGTGACCCGGCAACCTTCTTGCTGCGAGGTAACGGTGCGAACCACCGAGCCACCTTGCAGCCCCCATATGGTGAAAATCCATTTTTATAATATTTTGTGGCTGAGGGGTGAAGCTTTTACTTTTGCCTTCCCTAAAACATCCCCTGAAGTGATTGAAACACAGCCCTTAAAGACTTAACTGGCAGTTACTTTAGAACAATTTCCAAACTGCAGCTCTGCACCTCTAAAATGCTAATTTTATGATCACAAACCTGTCTGACAAGCTCCACATAAACATGATTTAAAAACACAGTCGTGCTTCAAACGTGTCGATAGTTCTATGTCAGTGTGAGAAAGTTAGATAAGATAGAAAGTCCTTTTCATTCTGTGTTGTCAATTATGGATGCAGAGAGAGTCTTGTTCCTGAAGAGGGTATGGACAGCAGCAGCTTAGCAACATTTAAAGCTACAGACACTAAAACCACCTGTTTAGAACAAGGTCTAAAACAGGGCTTATGCAGTCATGTCAATATAAACCATCCTCACTGAATTTCGAACAGCAAAATTTAAAGACACATTCTGGAGGCATATGAGACTTTCATTAATTTGCTGAAAAGGGGAACAATATGGAAGCCTTAAATCATGACTGAAGTATGTCATCCAATGAGGATGAAAAGCGTAGTTTTGTCCAAATCACAATTTAATTGCTCCACTGATGTTGCTTTTCAAGTCGATCCATGGGAGAACAGCCAGATATGAAAATGTCAGGAGAGATTATTGATCAATGATTTTATTGTAATGAGGACCCGACACAGGCAGAGATGACCCACAAAACATGCAAGGAAGTCCTTGTGAAAAAGCAAAAAGCTAGATGGCTATTAATTTGTTCCCATGAGATAATGATGTAGTGAGGTCATGATCAAGAGAGCAGCTTGATATCTTGATATAATGAGATAATTTAGCAGTAGTGTTGAGTATCTACAATGCTTTGACAAGGTAGGTATAACTCTACCTTTGGCCCTGCATCCCCACGAGGACCTGGTGGCCCTGGGGGTCCTTCATCTCCATCCCTTCCTGGGCTTCCTGCTGACCCCTTAAACCCAGGGAAACCCGGGAAACCTCCTGTACCCTGAATTAACAAAAGAGAGTAAATTAACATGCCGTGATTCATTTGTGTGCAGGGGGAGTACACAAAGACAGTCTTCATGGAAGTTAAATACATGCATGTATGTATGACACACTGGACGGTGATATAGATTTACATTTACTAACCTTTCCCCCTTTGACTCCTATGTCACCATCAACACCATTGATTCCTCCTTGTCCCTTATCACCCTGAAATTCACATTATGAAAGGTACAAAGTGAGTTTGTGTTTGGGAAAGAGACAAAGAGAAGTATGTGCAAACCTGCATGCTTACCTTGCGCCCTGTGAGTCCATTCAGTCCAGGTATACCTGGGGTGCCGGGTAGTCCCATATCTCCCTATTTTGAAAAGACATTGTGTGTCATAACGTTGTGTGTAACTTACAAAGAGCAAAGGTAGAGATTTTTTCAAACGGTACCATTCCATAACATATAGCACAACACTACTTTGGTCTGATCCACGTCTAATTAAGAGCTAACCTTTTCTCCGTCCAGACCCAGACTCCCAATTCGTCCAGGAAAACCTCTGAAACCCTGTAAATGCAGGTAAAGACACTAGCGAAGTCAACAAAACAGTCACAAGTGACCAAAGTGAGAGAAAAAAGTCATCAGTGGGTTAACAGTGAGAAAAAAAAACAACAGTTTCCACCTTCTCTCCCTTCTCCCCTTTGTCTCCTGGTAAGCCAGGTTCTCCTAGATCCCCCTGTGAAATAAAGAGAATTAACAAAACTTTGGAATGAAAAAAATTCTTAGTTAATTGTTGTTGAATCTGTCAAAAGAGAAAGTGATTGGCTATGTATTGTTTTTCAGTGTACTTGATTGCCCTTCTGGCCTTGCAGTCCAATGTCCCCTTTGTCCCCTTTGGCCCCGTCCACTCCATGATCCCCATTTCGACCCTTAAATTAAATCAAATGGGTGTTAACTATATTTTGAGCACCATAAATTGATTTTGAATTTTGGCTTTGAAATGTTGTAAGTTCAAAATGACGTTACCATCACTCCGTTAAGTCCTGGCTCTCCCGGATCTCCCTGGAGAACAAAATGACAATTGCACACACAATACGACCCAAATGTATTGAATGTTTAAACTCATTTTGTTGCATGCTGCATGACTTACCTTCTGGCCCACTGGCCCTCTTGCTCCAAACCGTCCTAATGCACCCTTAGTTCCTGCATCACCCTTTAGGCCCTTTTAGAAACCATATAAAAACCTTTGGGGTTAGGTCACAAATACTGTGCCAATTATTCTAAAATGAAGTATCAACAAGCTGATTATTTCTAAACAGGTATTTAATCATAACCAGTAGCTGCTGAGCTGCCTGTGAGCCTCTCGCTAATCTGCAATCTTTCCTAAACTACCTGTGAGATTTTCGTACTTGTGTTTTTCAAATGTTTTCATCAGGATTCATTACCTTGACTCCAGGTGGACCATCTTCACCCTTCTCTCCTTTATCCCCATCAAAACCTGGTGGACCTCGCCCACCCTGAAACAAAATGCCCATTCAATTCTTCACAGGTCTTGTTAGAACTCAATTACTTTGTGTGTGTTTTGAGACTCCTTCAGACATTTAAGGTATTTATTAAAGCATTTGCTCCCAAGTCAAATCATTGTTTTTAAGCTTCTAGTCTTTATAACAGTATCTATTTCCCTCTCTGGTTTATTGGATGTGTATTTCTCCACCTGTGCAGAGAGATACGGGGTCCAGCAGAGTAAAAATAATGCTGTTCTAGTATATTTTCATTTTAGATCAGATGCTAAATATTGATAAAAACTTGTGTTACTTCAGTGGAATGTAATTACACTGAGCAAAGGAAAAATGGACGCAAACTCATGAGAATCTCACCGCATCCCCTTTGGAACCTTTAAATCCACGAGGTCCTTGGATTTGAAGCACACTCCCCTGTTGGTCGGAATGAACTTGTTAATTTTTGATGCAAATAATGCAAGACTACATACATTTTCTTCTTTAGAAATATTGTGCTTGAAAAGTCTTTCTCTGGAAAGTTTCTGCAGACTGGGAGTCATATTGTCAGCCAGTATTCAGGTACATCCACAGGTATTCATGGTGCTATCTGTAATTGTCATCTCCCAACACTCATAGAGCCCTATATCATTAGATTCTCACATGGTAGTCCTGGATGGGTTCACCCCAAACATGTTGGACCCCATCTAATCCAAACAAATTTATCTTGGTCTCATCTGACCACAGACTGTGCTCTCAATATACATCAGGCTTCTTTTTTATACTTTAACAAAGTTTTATTTTGAAGTTTTGCTCCAAACAGCAAGCACAGGTTTGTGTTTTGGAGGCTGTCCATAGAGGTTGGTGTTATGCAGAGTCCTTCCCACTGTGTAAGCAGTCTCAGATTTAAGTGATAACTCCTGTACTAAGTTTCAAGAACCTGTTTGTCTGTCCAGAGTAAGATCCTGCAAGTTGTGCAGTCTTTCTTTTCTTTTTTTTTCTTTTCTTTTTTTTTAACAGTGGTTCTAGTCGGTGGTACAATGACTCGTTCTGTACCGCCTGACTGATGTATTTTGACTGAATTTTGGTTGGACGTCAATCTTCCCTTATTCATTTTTAATAATCGATCCCACAATTAGATTTTTAAGGTTCTCTGGCAATTCTTTTCTCCATGAAGCCATGATGCAGACATGTAGACAGACAAAACACCAAAACTGAGAACGTTCTGGTGTTAGCAGGTCATTTCTAACATTCTGTGTTTGCAGTTAGGTAAACTGGAAATCTCATTTCATTTTTTTTTCAATTAATTTCTTCTTTTGGGGTTTGTATTTACAAAATAGTCTTTGTAAAGTATTTGTTTTTGATTTTTTTTTATTAGGGGAAATACTCTTTTGTTCAACTTAGAAATAATACTTTTGTATTAATTGCTTTTATTGCTTGTTATTGAATCATTTGACATATCAAATGGGGTGTACTCTCTTCCATTGTATACCTGACAGAGATGCACTACACAAAGCTGAGAATCATGCATAGTTCTAATTTTTAAAAGTCCTGTTGTAATTTTCTCTGCATCAAGTCAGCTCTAACGAATCATTGTAAAAACCTAAATACTTCACAGTAAAAGCATCGTTAAAGTCATCATACCCTTTCTCCTCTGATTCCAGGTAACCCGCGGTCTCCCTGAAAAGAAACGCAATTTTTTAAATCCACTTTCCAAACATGATTATTTCAATTCCAGATGTAAAAAAAACACCTTATATCTCTACAATATACAGCTCCACTATAATCCACCTTCAATAAAATGCCATAAAAGGTTGTCATGCATGACGTGTCCAGGGTTTAGTGGAAGGAATGAGTGTGAAAAATGAATTATACAACAGCACCTCAGTTGTGAAACTTCAACAGAGGAAAGCCAAACAAATATGAAGTCTGACTGACAACTGACAGCACTTCTATCAACACAAGCCTGACCTACTGACACTTCACAATGAATGGGAAATCACTTTGTTGAGTTTGAACTCATAGCTATACATCCAAATGTTATTGTTGGGCTCTCAGTCAAACCACATACTTCACCGTTGATGCGCTCAACCATAAAAGTGAGTCATGTGTAAATAAAGATTAAGTACATGCAGACAGAGAAGGTTGTGAGGTTCATTGATGTAGCAGCGCTCTCAGAATTGCAGCAGTTTCACGCTTTTTGTGCACCGTGGTCAACGGATTTCACAGAAATCTTAGGCGCAAATGGAAAAAACATCCAGTCGCGCGTCGCGGTTCTGTAGGTGAACACACTTTGATGATGAAAGGGGTCAGAAAACAGCAAATACGGTTAAAAGAATGTTGTAAATGTTGCCCTGCTCATCAGATAAGCTTGATTACAACATGATGACACTTGAGTGTGAAGTTGGCGCAGATAAAATGAGTTCAAATCTACCATCTATCCTCCCTGCTTTCAATGGTTCTTGGTGGTAGTGATGAAAACATGCTCCTGACGCAACATGCAGGCCTCTTGATAGAAACAAAACATCCTTGAACAAAGTATTGCTGTTGATCAGAAGCGTCATCATAGAGATACTTAAATAGTACTTTTAGCAGCACACTCCAAAGTCTGGTGAAGTGACTCCATCGCAGTTTGTTCAACTCACATTCATTTAAACATAGAATTTGTGTACATTTATTTTATGTTTAACAAAATCTCATTTGCTGAACTCCAGGAACCCCAAACAGATTTTATTGATTTAGTATTTTACCTTTATTATGTTATCAAGCAATAAATTGTTTGTGACAAATCATGTGAAACAACAGCTCACCTTTTCACCTTTGCTGCCACGCAAGCCTTTTGGACCCTGATGCAAGAAAAAAGGATAAAAGGCAAGGATATTGTCTTGTGTACATAAGTGAAACTCTAATTAGCTTAAATATATAATTATACTCAGTTGTATAGTTTTGAAAATGTGCTTACTATGTTTCCAGGAGTTCCTTTAACACCTGGTGGGCCTCTTTCACCCTGGAAAGACATATTTTACTGCATAAATAAATATTCTTAAATATGTTTTTAAAGTTTTGTTGGGTAGATCAGGTAAGAAGTAGTGAAGACTTGACTGTACTAGTTTAACACAGAAACAAAAAAACAGAACATGAGGAATAATAAACTGATGGTATTTGTCCCAGCAAATATTTGACATCATAAAATCTCACATCAAGAATTTCTGACAGGTCCAAACATACCAAGCACTGGCAAAAGATGAATAAACTGAGCTCACCCTTCTCCCCAGGAGGCCAGCCACGCCCCTGGCACCTGGTTCACCTGGAATACTGTCACCCTGAAACAAATGGGAACATAATAGACTTTTTTTTTTAACATTGCTCTTTACTCAGTTGGCAAAAACACAATTATTGTATACGACGACAAAGTAGAAACAACAGACAGGACTGAAAGTAACACTGTGCTGCTTTAGATATCATTACTAGTTGTCCATATCACTCACACTGGTCTCTTAAAACAAGCTAAACTGGAAACAACACATCAACTGGATTGTAAAAATGAAGTTAAACATTACTGCGTACCTTTTCTCCTTTTTCTCCAAGCACACCAGGAAGACCCTATTTTAGAGACATGAAATTAATCGGACATAAAAATGTAAAAACAATAACTTTAAAACTGTGTAAATTGTCTGTTTGAGTTGAGTTTTCATATATAAGAAATAAAAATATTGAGTGTTTCCATACGTGAGGTCCTGGTGCTCCTCGAGGTCCAGGAGCTCCCTGTGATCCACTCTTCCCTCTTTTGCCTCGTTCCCCCTACATAAACACACAAACACTAAATCTTATACCACCACTTGAGCAGTCTCTCCTGAACCCTTATACAATACCTACAGTTCATGTACAGCAGCATCGATACTTTCACTGGATTTGCTTCTCCAGATCAAAAACAGGGCTGCTTCTAAGATGATATACTGTGATGTACCTCTCTGCCTGGTTCTCCTGGGTCTCCCGGAGGACCTCTAAACCCCGGGGAGCCCTGGATCCCTGCGTTTCCCCGGATGCCCTGGATGCCCTGAGCACCTGGAGGTCCTGGCGCACCTGGCTCACCCTGACATCACACAGTGACAGAGATAAACCAATGCAGAAACAGGTTAGGATAAATTAAATGTTCGGAAGACAAACACACAGATACGTCACTACATGTAACATTATTATCCAGCTCCTCTATTACTTTTGAATAATTGCTTTCAAACAAAGTCCTTCTCGCCTTTATCGGACCGAAAGCTCAAACACAATTTCAAAAGAGTGAGTGAGCGACTGAGCCAATTAAAATTCACTAAATTAAAAGTGCAATGAGAAACAAAGTCAATCAAAGTGAATGTTCTGGAACACTGTGGGGATTAATTGATTTAATAGGATGGTCTATGTCAGCAGTTGCTAGTAGTGTTTTTTTTGTTTTTTTTTGCATTCAGAGTGAGGAAGGAGGGAAATTTCACCTTCTGCCCTGGAGGACCAGCCTGGCCCTCTGGCCCTCTGTGGCCGCTGCCTGGCTCTCCCTAGAAACACAACACAGCCACGTGAATATGTGCAAAGTATCCTTCAAAACAAAAGCCTAAACTTCTGGAAAAACTAAAAGATGTTATGTTGACCTTTTTCTATTTACCTTTTGTCCCTTTTCACCAATTTCACCCTGAAAAGTGCACAGAAAGAGTTAATATAAAGATAAAGATAAAGATAAAGATAAACTTTATTCATCCCGAAGGAAATTGTTTTGCCAGAGTACAGTTAAAGCAAGCAAAACAGTTAAAGTAAACAAGTAAGTCCAAATAAGAATAAAAATAAAAAGTAAAAAATAAAAGTAAATAAAATAAGAATACAAGTACCAGAGAAGAATAGTGCCTTAATAAAAACAATACACTATGAAAGATGCACCATGACACATCTCTTTCATGTACCAAAATAAACAAACTCAGAGGAATGTGAAAAAGACTCGTCAGCATGTTTAACAAGGGGAATTATTAATGTCTGCTTTAATCTACTGTCTCACAGTCGAACAGAAATAGAGCAGAGGGGACATCAAAGGCCTGCACTCAGCTGGCTTCACTGACAGGCGAGACGAGACACAAGATCTCCCTGAGCTCTGATGTCATTTACTGATGTAATGTGGGGAGGCAGCACAGCAGCCGTGATATTCTCATGAACTGGTGGCACATTTCATGTGACGACTGCCAGTCTTGCTCTGTGATCTTAGGATAACGATTATAATGCTTTAAAACGGCGTGACAGTATCAGTGACTCAGTGAATTTTGACACAGAAGGAGTTTCATGCTATATTGTGGGTTCAGCCAGATTAGGAAACTAATTTTTCAGACTCATCAAACAGTATCTAACCCTCCATTTTGACACTGATACGAGGAGGACACGATGCTGCTGACTTTTTAGCCACTTTATAGGACCAGGGATGGCAATGTTGGTTAGTTTGACCACCGAGTTATCTTAACTGGATTGCCATTACAGTTTGAACAGTATTCTGTTAAAAACAAAAACAAAAAAAAAAGAAGTAACTATAATATTCTGGCAGCACCCATAAAATACTGTGGAATAATGGAAAATATTCATCTCATAAAAATAAAATAATTTTCCACGATTAAAATATACTTTTAGCCTTAATTTATGACTTTTACATGAGATCCTGTGTATTTTTTTTATTTATTTAATGTTTAATGAAGGGAATGTTTATGTGTAAAATGAAATTAATGAAACCACCAACTTTCCAGATATCTATATATAAAACAGGAAAGTTTTATTGAAAAAAAAACCAAACACATTATATATTCAATATATTTAACTACTGACTTCTCTCTTGTTACTATTCCTTGAGCACCAACATGAGGTGAAGATTTCTGGTTCTTAGTGAAACATCTCGGTATTATATGGATTTGACAGAGATTCCCATTTCTATGACAGGATAAACTGTACTAACTTTGGTGATCCTCTGAGTTTTGATACCACTGATATCACTGGATGTAAAGTTTTTGTGTGTCTGATTCTTAAAGTCTCTCAAAACCAAAGATATTTTCATCAGACTGAGCTGTACTTTGTACTTGGTGTGAATAAGCATGTTTACCAAGACAGTGAACATGAGAAATAATATACATGTTAGACATCAACATGTGAGCATTTAGCTTTATTCAAGCAGGCTCACAAAGCTGTGGCTTTAGATTTTTGCCAAATTTTCAATGCAGTGAGAACCATAAACGTAATTATTTTCCCCTGACTTGTAATTTAAATTAAACTAACTGCCAAATAAAACAGCTATCATGACTAGATCGCACTAAAGTGACCAGTATTGGAATGCTTTGTACCATTTGGGTGAACTGGCCCTTTAAATAATGGTTACCAACTTAAACAGCAATTTTGTTTTCAAATTGCTTAAATAAACTGTTTTTCTGATTGTAAGTCATTTAAAATCACCACAGTCATACACCTTTATTATGGAACTTATTGTGTGTGGGGTTTTTGTCCTTAGAAGGATACTTGAGTTTTCTACTGAGTTTTGTTTAAATGTTAAAATATGTGCAGTCACCTTTATTCCAGCTTTTCCATTTTCACCTGGTTGTCCCTGTTACAGAGGAAATGTGTGGTAAGTTTATACGTTATTAAAATTAAATTAAAATCTAAGAACACGTAAAACAAACTCTGAGTATTCTTTAAATGATGAGTGCATTATACTTTGTACTGTACCTTCAGGTAGAAGTACTCTGGAGGATATGGATATGGCTGTCCAGTTTCCTCATCATAATGCCCCCCTCTCATCCTCTCCATCTCCTCCCTCCTCCTCTCCCATTCCTCCCTCTCTCTCTCCAGGTCTCTCTCCACCTCCTGGTCGGTCCTCTCCCTCTCCAGCTCCTTCTCCTTCTCCATTTGCTCTCTCTCCTTCTCCATTTGCTCTCTCTCCAGCTCTGCCTCTCTCTCCTTCTCCAGCTCCTCTCTCTCTCTCTCCATCTCCATCCTCTCCTTCTCTCTCTCCCTCTCCAGGTCCACCCCCTCCTCCCTCTCTCTATCTACGTCTTCCTCTGTCTCCCAGTCATAGTCTCCACTCCTCTCCTCCTCCTCCTCATAGACGGGATCAGGGCCTGTCTCTGTATATCTGTCTGGCATCACTTCTTTCTCTTTTTCCATCTCCCAGTCTTCCAGCTCTTCAGCTTCAGTTGGTTCTTCTCCTCCACCTTGTATTTCTGCATGAATATCTCTTCCTGCATCACTGTATCTCTGCCTCTCTCTGATTTCTGGCCTTTCCCTCCTAGTATGAGTTTGAAGGTCAGGATGTTCTTGCTTTGCCTTCTAGAAAAACACATTTTGTGACACAAATGTATTCATAAGTTGCACCATCTTAATTTGAGTGAGTCCTTGATATTTATTTGAACTGATGATTGCTGACTTACATTCCAACTGCTGTACCCTCGAGCTCCAGAGGACAGATGCTGGAATTAAAATAAGTGGAAAAATCTTTTATGTGTGACCATGAAATTGCATTTTCACATTTTTATTTGATGCAATTTGAGTCCCATGTATGCAGTTTGACTATTTAAAGACTGGAAACACAGTATCTAGTTAAAATAATTACTTTTTGTGCTGCCTTAAAGCGATTTCTTCCACCCTGGACACCTGGCATGAACACCTACAATATAAAAATGATTACTAGCATCATTTTTTGCTCTTATTTATCTGTCTTCTGCAAAAAACAGGCGACACTTACCATGGAATCAGGCCAGGAGGTGCCTCTTTTCATCCGAATTTGAAGTCGAGGCACCTGTTGAGTCCCCCAAAGCTTTGATGAGCAAATTTAGCAAAGCAATTTTTAAGCTTTCTATAAAAGAAATGTGCTGACTGATGTGTGTGATGGAAAAATATACAACAAAAAAAAGAAGACAGAGACTTGCTTAGAAACTTATTTTAACATTTTTACTGAAGCATACATGCACAGAGAGGTTAAACACTGACATTGCAATAACAAAGAAAAATTTCACCAGTGAAAACAGTGTTTGATCTGGCTACAAAACTGCATATAGTACCACTACATTCTGAATAATATCAATGATACTTGGTGTTAAAAAAGCAAACTTTTCTCCAAGTTTCAATAAATAAAATTTCCATACAACTCAGCACAAGTAAATATGTGTTGAAACTGTTGGTAAATGCTCGAGGAAGTTTATTGCTGTATCAGTTACAGAGAAATGCTTGTAATAAATAAATTAAGAGTTCTTGAAAAGGTAGGTAAGGCTACACTGGTGTTCACACTGCAGGAGATGACGTTGGGTATGGCCATAGGTTTGGGTGGGTGACATTGTCTCTGTGTGGAAAGAAGTCCCCCCTCATGAAACGTTGGTTGGGTTCAGGTTTCATCCCCAGAGTTCACAGTTTATTCACACTCTCCGTGCAGTGCTTTCTTATGATTCATTAAGACTCTATAGTCTCAGTCTCTTGGGAATTAAGAGATTTCCTGTTTAAAAAAAAAAAAAAAACGAGAGAGAGAAAGTATTAAAAGTAACTCTCTGGAATTTAGTCTCAGTAAATCATTCCTGAAAAGTTGGACTAAGGCTACAGTTTCTGCTCATTCCCACTCAGACAAGCTTTAGAGAAATCATGCTAAAAGCATGCTGCTCAAAAATGATGTCCTGTCTCATGCTTTGAAAAAAGGTTTGATTTTATATTTCCATTCCCTCTTGTAATCACGTTAGCCACAAACACGTGCATTGTTTTGCACTGGTGAAATTTTCAAAGAAAGTAGAAGGAAGAAAAGGTCTTAACATGTGATGCCAAGTGCTCAGTCTGTATCATTCAAAGTATATTATAGTGAAGCCAATACTTCAATTTATTCAAGCACTTGCCCATCACCTTCAGTCCTCTTGTGTTAAGTGTAAATAAAAGAGCTTTGCATTCCAGGGCATGCAAGGATCTTCAGACTCATTCATTGAGATTCAAATCTGAAAACACAACTCTACCTTATCTGGTTCTTCTGTTGCAACGGGGGGCGTCGGCAGTGACGCTTCATCCTGGTTAGAACAATAAAGGAAAACATCACTTTAAAACTGAAGCACCATACTGAGTATATGCTCCATTTCCAATAAGCACTGAGAAAGTCAGCCAAGACCCTCATATACCTCCTCTGTATCATCCAGGGCTTTAGATAGCGGCTCTGTGGTTGTTGAGATGACCTACAGGAAGATAAATCAGAAGGAGATCTTTAAAAATATGTAACACAACCAACCAGTCTATGCAGAAGTAGCACAAAGCCTTCTCCTTTTAACATGCTTTGAAACGTTTTCCCTTGTGTTTTGGTGTTTGATTTTTTGGGGTCATCATGTTGCATGCTTACACTGATGTGCCATTCAAGTGACATATTGGGCCAGAAGACTTTAATGTTTAGAATATCTTTGGCTTGAAGTGGTATTTTGATAGTTGTCTGACTCATCACATGTAGATTGCAGATATAAGCCTACCAATGGCCACTTCTTTCTCTTCCAATATCTACATGTTACTATTTACAAAATACCCTTCATGACAGGAGACAAAATCCTCCGAGCAGGAACCTCCAACACCGAAAAATTTTGCAGAAGGTTTGGATCGTTCCATAAATCAGCCCAGATAGTTTTATTTGGCGAAATAATTAATTCAATTAAAAAGACCCCAAAAGGTCCAACAAAAAAAAACCCCCAAATTTGAAAGGAAAACCGGGCCGCAACCCCGGCCTAACAACGCCCAAAAAGAATGCTAATGGGTTGAAAGAAAAAAAAAAAAACCAAAAAGGTTTTTCCCCTTCAGCAGAATGACAACGAGGTGTAGTCAGACCATTCTCCACAGCACTGTGACGACACTAGAGAACAGTCTGACTATACAAGGCTAGTTTGATAGTAGCCCTGTTTAGCCCTGTGTCACAAAATCATCGTGCTATAGGAGGGAAAAAAAGCCCCCCCCTGGTTGGAATTCCTTAAAACAAACAACAAAACAAAAGAAGCAACCCCCGGGGTCCAAAAAAAAAACAGAAAAAATGGTGGGAAAAAAATGGAAGCAAGGAAAAGAACAACGGCAATGAAAAGGAAAAACCAACAAAAAAACAAGAACAACTAGAAGACCTGCATTACTGCATGATCCAAATTCTCAGCAAAACTTTGAATGTGGTAGGTTGCTGCTCAGAGGTCGTTGTGATTGTTTCCAGTCGTAAAATAAACCTGTTACACACAGATAGTGGAAGAAAGGACAAAGCCAAATGAGACGTTTGGTGGCGCATATCTGCATCCTACATCCAGTGAGTCAGACTAGTTTGATAGTGACTCACTGATTTGGTTTCTTGATTTTATTTAAAGGCGCTCAGCGCGTTAACTATTCAACAATGGTATAAGAGTGGAACGCTAAATGGGCGGCATTGCAGCCACTATGGACCAGAGTGCAAGAATCTGAAGTGGTTTTTTTTGTTTCTTGGTTGTGTCTTTGCACCAAAAGATAAAAATAATACATTCATGTCAATGCATGACATCAATAATTCAAAACAGATAAAAAAAAAAAATACATCCAATGATGTGTAGTTTCACCTGTGTGTCTGTTTCTCGGTCTGAGAACAATGTAACAGGAGGACTGGAGGTTTCTAACTGGGCAGGATTGTGCGTGGGTAACTGTTCCCCCTGCAACAGATAAAAACAGCATAAATATATCATTATTCTTCCGGTACAACAAAGCGGCACACAGCTGAGTTCATTTGTATTTCTATCATTGTCCAGTCCTGCACCTGTGAATGACTTTTTCTTATCATGTGGGCTACAGAATTATGAATGCTCACCTTTTCATCCACTTGATGGGGGGTTTCATCTGTTTGGACTTCAAGCTGCATATGATTAAGAAAAACACACACATTTTACATTAAATATGAATCGTAACGTTTATACCCGATGCAGGAGGAGAGCACTGAAGCAAATGTACCTGTCGGTTTTCTCTTCTCTCCTTAGAGACTGGAGGGCCATCGAGGGAAACTTCCTCCTGATTGGAAAAAAACAAAACAGTAGTCTCATCATAACTTTTAAACACTCAGAGTACATGATGTGCAGAGCAGACGCAGTGGGCTGCAGTGACAAAGTAATTTATCTGTAATAATTAAATTCAGGTAGTGGGAGTGCCGTTAATCAACTCTCTGCAGTGTTCATGTGGGCAGTGACATATTTCAGTCCCCAGAGATGCTGCTATATTAAAAAAAAAAAAACACACACACACACACACAGGCGACTGGATCAGGAGTTTGACAGGCTTGTTAACAAGAAGACACTCAGTATGACAACGTTCTAAATCTGTAACAACTCCACATCATCACCATCACTTCAAAATGAAGGTTCCACGAGTTTATTTATTGCTGCCTACCTCATATTCGTAATTGTATTCTTCACCGTCATAAAACTCTTCCTCTTCTTGTTTGTCCTCTTCATTTGTCTTAAAGCAGAAATTACAATTATTAGAAGAAGATATGGAGCATCATTCATCATCTGCGCAATGCCAAGCGACCACAAAGCAGCCCATCCATCAGTTTGTTGTATTTATAATAAGAAGCACATGAACGTTAAAGCGAATGCATGCTTTTAGTTAAATCGTAAAATCATGTACAAAATAACTGGTTAATATAGTTTGTTATATTTGCAATATGTTAATTTATTATTAGCATTTATTAAGTTTTAGTAACAAAGCAGTTATTTCTACGCAAATACTGTTAATGTCGTGTTAGAGTCAGTTTAAGTTTGGGTTTCTGCAGCCGTGTTAGTTGATGTTGGGTTTTGTTTAGTTCGCCGCTAAAGGTTTAGTTCGACCCCTTCAAGGACATTTACCAGGCGTTGTCTCTGCCTCTTATGTCGTCCTTTATTTCCTTTGCCCTGGTTAAGAAGTTCACAGTCAGAGAGAAAGAAGATAAAGGTTCCTCATGCTTCAGAAGTTGTTGATGATTGAGTATGAAACTATGGTTGATAAGTTTAGGGAGATAATTAAGAGGGAGATAAGTAGTTAATGATTATCAAAAAAAAACAAAATCAAACAACACCTTTAGGATGATTAGGAGCCCTCAGTGTTACAAAATAGTTTAGAGCTATTTATTGTTGTAGGACCACACCAGAGTGTTCTGCATGTTTTAGTTGATTAGTGGATTTAGTCGATGGCCATTTTTTTGGAGGAGTCCCTCTTCTTGATGAAATTGATAGGCAATGATTTAAATACTAATCAGAAACCCATTTTTATTCACAAACTTCAATTTACGTGTAACAGTGGCATGAAAATCAGCTCACAGATACTTGTGTGGCTCATTAGAAGAAAAGTCATTCATCAGAATAAACACTTTCATGTGGCAAATTTTTTTAAAAGTTCCACCTGAAAACAACAAGACAGTAACAGCTGTTATAAGGTTGAAATGAATGGATCTTGGGCTCTGTGGATGTTTTGGCGAATGTTCCTTAAAGGTGCAATGTTTGGCAGCCTTCAAAATAAAGGCACCATTTCCCATCAACACAGGGACCTCCAGGGTGGCAGCAGGCTGAGCTAAAAGTTCCCATCATGCTCATTGGAATTTCAGTGTTTACTTCTTGTTTATCTTTTGGATTAGGTTTTCTGACAACACAGCTCATTAGTGCTCAAACTCCCAAATGTCTCAGTGTCTCTAAACCTGCGGAGGGGTTGTCTCCCCCTTTTGGCAGTTGTCAATGTGTGGTTATGCCTCTTGGTTGATCTGAGCACCAAGTTTTGCTTTGTGTTTGTTCTTTTGTCTGGAGCATCAGAAACGTTTCTTTGACACTTCTCCACCACAGGTTATGCTACATTACTATTATATTTGCCGTAGTCTACTGCGTCTTTACTGCTGTGGTTGCTCCCCTGTTTATCTCTGGCAAACCAATCACTGCTGGTTGATCGCAGACAGATCTCTACCGATGTGGAAATGGATGTTCATTTAGGAGCAAAAGTCCTAAACTCTGGCTTTAAAATGTATCTAAGAAGCATCTGCCCACATCTCTACTAAAACACACATATAATTTGTTTATAAAAACATGTGAGGCCACAAAATGTCAAGTTTAGAATCTCTGGATGTCTCTGGAAGTTGATTTTCATACGATGAACTGAACATTAGGAAAGCTAAAACATGAAACACTTTGTATGGTCCTTTGTATGTATACATTTATACATCTATACACTTATTTACACATTTATGGTGAAGTGATCGAGGAGTGTTCTGTGGTTTATCTTCTACTTTAAACTTCATTATCAGTAAAACAGTCATGGTAGCTTTACTTTCCCACGTTCCCTGTTCTTCTTCTTTGCTCCTGAACTCTTCTTCAGTGAGTCCTCCTGAGTGAGGACAACAGTCTCCACCACAGTTTCAGGTAACCCTGAAACCGTCTGACACAAATTTACATGTTTAGAATTTCACATTCAGCAGAACTTAAATGTTAAATGACACTAGTTATTTGACAGAATTAATTTTGTCAGGGTTTTAAATCTTTACATTTTCGCGACTGAAGTTTTTCAGGTATTTTAACCTAAAATTATGTGAGCGCTTGCCGCAGCGTACTGCATACCATGACCTAATTACTTGATGATTGATTTATTGAACTGTATTTTGGATATTTGATAATAAGGAGTTACAGGAGTAATGGAAGAGATAAAGAGAAAAAAGCACTGAGCTGCTTTAATCAAAATGTTGATCTAAAATCAGCTCTGAATCGATCTAACGTCCTTACCTCTTTGGTTGTAGTGTAATTGAAAGTAGAATTGACCACAGTGAAATTAATTTTGAGCGAAGGCACTTTGTCACTGTCCCAGTCTACTATCTGCTTCCCTCTGGCCTCGATCGTGTTGAACTCCTGCTCTCCGTTCAGTGTGGTGACGCTCCATAAAGTAGGAACCTCTGAGGTTTCATTTAATGGATCCTTCACAATAAAAGACAGAATAAGAGGAAGTGAAAAAGCATCCAGCTTTGACAAGAAGCATCTGTCTGACGTAAAAGCGCAATAGTGACAATACTAAAAGGCATTATATAATGCTGATTTATTAGAGTACACTGTAAAAGTATTTTTTGAAATACCTAAAAAATATAAATAAAAAGACAAAGTGAAATTATATGACTAATTTTAAATCACATGAAAAAAATTAATAACTTCAGATATCCATTATATTTCTATTTTAGATTTAGATATAGATTTTTTTATTATTATTTTAAAAAATCAAGACTTGTAAATGTATCACCACTTTATAAATATTTCCTCTTTATTCAATGGATGAAACTATTCATCTTTTTAAAGGTAATTTATACGTTTTTAAACATTCATCAAACATGAAAAAGAAAAACAAATCCATGCTCTCAGGTAAAATTAAGGCAAGAAAAGTTAATTCAGTTTTGGAAAAATATTGCATTTTTTTTTTATTGAGATAGTTATTTTTCACTACTGTGAGACTCATATGTTTGTTTGCTTGTGGCCTAAATAAATATAAAATTTTAAAAAGAATTCTAAAAAAAAATATAAGTAAAAGACAATCAGTCACATATCAGACACTGCAGTCTTCATACAAATACAGGTGTGGTACATGATCACATAGATTCAAGTCTGTCACATTCCTGGTAAAGAAGTAAAGAGTTTCGATATTTGTCACCCAGACTATTTTTATTGGAATGGTCTTTGTTGCTTGGTTACTCTAAGTGATGAGTATTAACATAATTAGATGAGAAGGACATGAAAGACGTTTTCTCTTGAAAAAATGAAAATGTTATTAAGGACTTCACGTCCACATTCAGCTTTCATGACTTCTCCAATAAAAAGCTAATGACAGAAATAACACAAACTCCTTGTTTTCCTGCTACAAAAGTCTTGGTTTCAGGTTTGTTTGTATGTTTAAGCAGCTTGAATCAAGATATCAAATTGCTGAATTAGTATAAAATGCATTTTGGACACAACTTTATTTGGCTTTGAAAAAAATAACAGCCATAATTTCATCATGTAGGTAGACTTTTTCCCCTCATTTTGGGGAAAAACAAGACTTAAAGACCCCGGCTGAGGTTACTCACAACTGACAAAGACTCAGGAAGATGGCCATCCAAATCAGGGTCCTCAATGGTGTCCAGCGGCTGACTGCTGAGGTCAAACTTCACAGAACTCTGAGACAACACAAACATAAAAAGAAAACGATTTCATTTCTAGTGCCCTTTGTTTCACAGATTTTGTGATCTTATGTTTAAAGACATAAATAATGAGATATATTTAAGTTGACAAGTCATTTGGTAAATTACACGTCACCAGTTCAGTTGTTGCTCTCTAAACATTGACGTTTTGTAGTCGTGTCTTGTAATTCTATGAGGAATTGGCCAAAAAAAACAACTGCAAAACCAAAAATTCACAGCTTCTTTTCTTGATTTTACTTACTGTGTACTCGGTGATGATGTTGGAGGTGTGAGTCCCTGTGTTTTCTTTTGTTTTCTTGGAGGTGCTGAGCACATGAAGCAGTTCCTCTATTCCATCCTGCAGCAACCTGTCAATCAACGTCTTCAGCAAAGGCAGCTGAGAAAACAGATTTTATTCAGAGGGTCAAACTCTGCTACTACTACTTTACTACTACAAACTCTGTCAACGTCAAAACACTGTCAAGCTCAGAGCTCACCCTTATACCATAGGCTTCAAACATCGCTTCAATGTCCTAAAGGGGTGGAAAAATATGTTACTCAGAGACTTAACAATGTCAAATGAGAACATGTAACCCAGAGTTGGATCTATTATGTCTTGTGGTCAACCTTCATCTCTAGAGATTTTCCAGGAGCTCCATTATCGCCCTGCAGAAACACAAAACAAATACAGTGAAAACAATGTAATGTACATTTCAATATTTTCGAAGCAGACTGATCAACACTACCTTCTCTCCTTTCAGGCCTCTTTCTCCTTTATCACCCTGCCAAAAAAAAGGGACAAATAAGTCAACAAGTCTAAATATCAGGTTTTTTCTCTCTCTTTTTTGAACACAGTTTCATTATAAACAACATTACCACCTTACCTTTATTCCCGGAGAACCCTAAACACACAGAAACAGAGGAGCAAGACATTTGAACATGCATCCACAATGCATGACATCAAGCTCACCATATCTGTTTGCAAAACAACTTCCACACTTAAGCACTACAGTCATCGCCGAATGATGACTGAAATTCCATGCAGGTGACGTATGAATCCTGCCATGCAACTTCTAAAATGATGTGCCATTGTTTACGAGCTGTTGTGTGCAAGTGTCAAACTCACAGTGGCTCCTGGAGGACCCATTGGGATTGGAAATGCTTGTCGGATTTCGTCAATGGTGGCGCCCTGAGAACGGATCCAAGTGAAAATTAGGAAAGTTAAACTGCAATTCAAGTCTAAATAGACTGACATTTTTCTGAACCACCACAAAACAGAAATGAGTCAAACTGATTGTGATTACAGGTATAATCATGAACACGTCAGCTAAACCTGCTGTTGAGCTTTTGTAAGAGGTTTGAAATAAGAAATCTGTTTCTGTTGTGATCATACAATTCACCAAATTTGCAGGGGTTTATTTTTACCTCAGAAGTGACAAGCACTTGCCTACCAGGCAAACCTGGAGGTCCTGGTTCCCCCTTACTGCCATCTGTGCCCTGTGACGAAACAAAAACTCTGTTACAATCTCAATTTTCTCACAAAGATTTCTTTTTCATAACTTAAACACCACTTACATTTGCCCCTGCGTCTCCCTTGTCCCCCTGTAAATAAGAGGGACGTTAACACATGTTGTTTTTTTGTTTTTTTTAAAGTGTCATGAACTTTTAAGTTGGTTGCAATAACTTTTATGAACCTTTTTGCCGTCATCTCCTTTGGGTCCCTTTTCTCCCTATGAAAAGACACAATATTTTTAATTTCACCAATTAGCTAGAGAATGCAGAAAGACTGTTGTGAAGCACACAGCAGTGCAGGTGGTGTCAAAAAGCACGGTGGTGTGAGCTGTCTTATGAAAAAGCTCACATCTTTTCCTGGCAGGCCTCTCTTCCCATCAATGCCAGGTCTCCCCTGTCGAGGAAATACAACTACTGATCATTACGGCTAATGACAAACCTAAAACAACAACACATTTCATTATATTGGTTTGAATCTAATTGGTTTGAATAGCTCCAATATTGGATGTCGCCATTAAAAACATAAAAAGGATGGATGGTGATGCACGGTGACTCAGAGACATACTCACAGCAGTTCCTGGTAAACCAGGCATCCCAGCGATCCCAATCCGGCCCTGGTCTCCTTTATCTCCTTTCTGTGTTAGCACAGAGAACATTTTAAAGTTTTTCACCATAGCAAAATTGTGAAAAATTTACCATAAAAACACAAGAATTGAGTGTGCAGAAACACTGAAACAAAGAAAAGGCGGAATTTCCCTTGTAAGTGATTTATTTTAACACAAAAAAAAGTTTACTGACAATATATAATGATGTATATAATACTTCGTCATGTTGTGCAAACTACCTTTATCTATGGAGGGGCTGGTAGAACAAGAACAATCTGAAACTAAATGATTCTGACACATTTGTGTTTGTCCAAAGACATTTCTATATATTCTATGTATTATATATTTTTATGTTATTTTGACTCACACAAACACAAAAACACCACAATGAAAAGCATCTACAGTTCCTGGGTGCATGAAAACAAGAGTGAACTAAAAGATCTGAGTGGAAATGCTCTAAATCAAGATTCAAATTCATGACAGGATCGCTGATGTTTCCTTAAATGTTTTTGTGTAAGTGAGATAACGCAATTCACATGTAACAGGAAGCTTTTATGTTTCTTCTGATTTAACTTCAGTTAGTCGGTGAGTCACAAACTCCAACTAATTACTGCGTAGGGAACTGAAGTGAATCTAATTATTTCTCCAGTTTTCACAGCTAAGACCAACTAAAAGTTATATCTGATTATTAATGAGGTATTTCAGTTTCTCTGATGCTCACACAAGTCTAACACTACATGTTTGGCTATTGGTGCAAATGTCTTAAACACAGTTTCTGCAGGATTTACTGAGTCTAACTGAACATATTGTTAAACATACTGTAAAAAGACTGCAGTTGAAGTATGAAATAAAACCAAGAGGAACACTGTGATCTACAGTTATTAACTGATCGATACCATTCGAATATAATTTGCAATGTCCCAATTTAATTCTAGGCCCAAATTAGTAGCAGAAAATAGGCAGACAAGCACATTTTATGTTGAACACTACTCTCAATAGCAGCTAAAAGGGAATTTAAATTATATTTGAAATTAAAAAGTCTATAAAAATCATCATAGTTATATTATTATGACTATTTTATAGACTTTTTAATACCTTCTAGGGCCTACTGTATTGTGTAAACTGAATTCAAAGCTTTTTAAGACCTTTGAAAACCTGAAGATAAGCTGTTATACTGTATGTTCTTTATAGGTTCTTTATAATGTCATAACCTTGAGTTATGACAAACAACATTGTTGGACTCACCAGACCAAGCTCTCCTTTTGGCCCTTCATCACCCTGTGGTTTTCACAAAACATTTTATAGTCAATACAAGTTTACATGGGCATTTTCACAACATAATAATTGAATAATACCAGTAACACTGTGTGTATGTAAGTGTTTGAATAACCTTCATTCCTGGCTTTCCTGGTAAACCATCAACTCCTGAACCACCCTACAAACCCAAGCAGTTTTATATTTCAACATATATTTAAACAAATGCTGAGTCCTGGTGGATCAAACACAACCACAGGAGCTGCAATTTAACATTATGCACACACATACCAGAGACGTTCCTGGTAATCCAGGTTTTCCTTCTGGACCCTGGAAAAAGAGAATATTCAAAAACTGGAAGGATTCAAGAGATTCTAATCATTCGTAGTGGTGAACTCGTGATTATTTCCATTATCAACTAACCTACAGATTTGCCTGTTTGTTTGATTTTTTACATTTTGTCTATGAAATGTAAGAAATGGCTTAAAATGTATTGGTTTGTTTGTCCTTGCCCCAGAAATCATCAGACTAGAAAGTAGAAAGCAGCTGTTTGTCATGTTTAAGAAGGTGGAGACCCAGAGAATATCTGGGATTTTGGCTTTCAGGTGAAGTCTACAGAGCAGCACAACACAAATTGACAAATTTTATCAGTTACACATTCAAATCAAAATCAAATCAATCAATCAAATCAAGTTTATTGTCATTTTGCTGTACATACACGGTTGTACAAGCAAGATGAAAAAGTGTTTCTTCAGGATCCAATAACTTAAAGCATTTCAAATAAACAAGTGTTTGCATATCTAGATCAGCAGTTCAGCATTCTGATAGCTTGTGGAATGAAGCTGTTGATCAATTTTATCAGTTACACATTCACGTACAGGGGAATGTTACACACTCTTACACTGGTTATCCAAATAATATCCTGACAGCAGACTAAAACAATGGGCTAATTGTTTCAGTGATCAAATAATAAGTTGTAAATAATAAATAATCTCACCAGCAGGATTATAAGAACTGGCATCTCTTGACTACTACCTCTAAAACCGTTATTCTATGGGTTACTGTTTGGGATAGCACAGTTGTCATGATCAGTTCGCTCACAGATTTGCAGTATGAACATTTTTGTGAAGTAAGCCAGAGGATACTCACTCTTGGCCCAGGTAGACCCGTTTCTCCTCTCAAACCAGGCTGACCGGGCTCTCCTGGCTCACCCTGGAAATGAAAGAATTTTAAATTTGTTTACAAAAATGAATGAATTAAAGAGTGTTGCGTGCTATTCTTCAAGGTACCTTAATCACTCTGGTCAGAATGTTGTTGTCTGTAATAATCTAGAAGAACAGAATGACAAATGAAAAGTTAGTTTGCTAATCAGCTGATTAGTGAACAGACATAACGTCTTATGGGAGATTATTATTATTTTTTTCAAATCATTAAACGCTTCTGTCAAACATGGCTGAACTGATAAGAAGTTGTCAGAAATGACAATAGAGATTTGTTTACTTGTGTTCCCGGAGGCCCAGGTTTTCCCTTTGTGGCAACGCCAGCGTGATCGAAAGAAGACAGACAAAGACACAGTTACAATCTGAAATGTCACACTGCTAAACACATTCCATATTTGTAACACAAAGGACAAAAGTAGGTGCACTGAAGGGTGGCACACACAAAAAGCCAAAGTTAATTACTCAACGTATCTAAACAGAAATCGTGAAGTCACAGGAGGAGAGCAGGTTGTAAAGAAATGGTGACTGACACAAGAGAATGACAAGAAGGCGGTCAACCACGAGAAACAACGTGATCGTCAGTTAGACAGATGGAAGATACAAACATACCGGCTCTCCTTTGTCACCTTTGATGCCCTCAGTGCCCTTCAAAAAAGAAAAACAGCACAGGCAAAGTTGAAGCCTCACAATTTCAGCTAAACAATCCACAACATTATGATTCCCTACACATATAATTAGCTACAGAGGAGCGTGAGTTTATTTTAATTATCATGTCAGAGAACTTACAGACAGACCAGGCTTCCCAGAATCGCCTTTTTCTCCAGGGTCCCCTGGTCGTCCCGGTAACCCCAGTGGACCCTGGCCAATAAGATTCATATTAGAAAACAGAGCACCTCACATTATTGTGTTGCAGTAAATTCACAAATAAAAATTTACGATTTAATCCTGTGTGTGTGCATAACTGCTGCAACATGATGGCTGCTTAGTGAGAGTCCTGGCAGACAGCGGAGTCTGGAACGTAAACTGCTTGAAGAAAGCATGAGACTAACAGCCTAACAGTCTATAAACTGGATGAAAGGGAATTGAAATGCAATATGAGCACACAGTGAGTTACAAAACAAAATTTAACTAATTATGTGACATGGATGGCACACTGGGTGGTGGTGAACAAAACTGTGCGGAAAAAAGCCAACTTGAATGTTTGGTGCTTGCAGAGCTAATTTCAGTTTGATTCTACTATTTGATTCAACTCTTCTATTTGCCATGAATTGTTCTCTTATGCCCTCTAAAATCTTCCTTGCTCTTTGCTTTGATTGTATCAAGAATACTACCAGGTGTTCTGGTCAAAGTTTTGCAATCAGAGCCCCAAAACACTTTTTTTTTCCCCTGCACAAGCTTTATCACATCTTTCAAATCCCATTTTTCTTTCTTTCTTTTTTTTTTTCTTTCCGGAAACAGCCTCTGTTAGAGTTGCTTTTTGCAAAGACTTTATATGATAGCTGAAAAATACCCTGATTCCTCTGTCGCCAGGTTCTCCAGCTGGTCCTAGTTCACCCTGTGAAAGAGAAAAATTAAAGGAGCTAATTTTATTTACGGTTGATCTTAAATCATTGCTGAAACACCAAACTTCTGGAATTAAATGTTTAAATTCAAATCAACAAAACCAGCAAAAACATGCATCAAACCAACCTTAATTCCTTGTTCTCCTTTAGCTCCAGGTGCGCCCTACACACACACAGTTCATAATAACTGTCATCAGTATTACAATGCAAATATGAAGCCACCAACATACACAGTATATAAATGAGAAAAGGGAACAAGCGGATCATTTTCCTGGCCTCCAGCTGAAACTGAACCTTTTATCTGCAAACATCACATTTCGAACGCTCCATTTGTCATATCCTACTCGGGATTTTTATAATACCCTGAGCTTTCTTCTCATGTTTCCTAAATAAGCTTAAATAACAAATCTGAATTGTGCTTTCGTCAGTGCTGTAACAACCACTCAGGATTTACTTACATCTTTACCTCTTAATCCTGGTTCTCCAGGATTGCCAGGTGAACCAGGACTCCCCCTGTCACCTTTAAAGCCGTCCTGCCCCTGAGCAAAGACACAACCTCTGGTTCAGAATCTCAGTAGAAAGTCACATGTTTTTAAAATGTACAATGAGGGTTGTTATTAGTTGCAATAAAAGTCTGAGGTGGAATTTACCCCAAACACATTGTGTGCTTTACATGTTATGATTACTTAATATTATGTATACATTTCTGACCACATGGGGGAGGCAGAACAACATCTAACACTCATATAGTATAATGGCCACACTTATAAGTCGGTGTCAGGCAACATGTTGATTATTTAGCATCAAACACACAAAGAGTAACATTCAGCTTCAGTTGTGTTTCTGGTCACCTGGTGAGCGTAACATTCACTAAATCCTTCACTACATTCACCAGTTTGTGGCTAACTTTGTCATCCTGCTGTTTGTACAGATGACATGCAGTGAGTTGTTGGAGCTGTTTTTTTGCTGAAAACAGCTGCCTGCTGTGGTAGAAAATGGGGTTGTTGAAAGTGGTGAGAGTGAACCAAGATGGGAAAACAACGTGCAAAACCAAAATAAAGAGCTGAAAAATGGTAAAAGTCTGCAGAGGGTAACTGCAAAGTCAGGGGAGGAATCACTGGTGATCGTTTTCATGCTGCATATATTCATTTGAGCCGTTGTTAATCTGAAAATATTCACTGGAGACGCTTTAAGTGAACTCACCTTTGGTCCTGGTTTTCCAGATAAACCAACATTTCCCTATGAAGGATGAAAACATGATTAAAAATACAGCAGCAAACAACAGCTGCTTCCTGCTTTATTATTACAGAATTCATATGGATGACTCACCCTCTCGCCGTTTTCTCCCTTTGGTCCCTGCTGTCCTGGAATCCCAAAGCCAGGACTACCCTGCACACGTCACAGCAAACCACAGCCACACGGCAAAATCATATCTCATTATTCTGCACCTAACATCTATGTGCTCTGTTTTTCCATTAGTGATTGAAAAAGACCAAATATATTAACCTTTTCTCCCTTATCTCCTCGTTCCCCCTTTATTCCCTGAGGGCCTGTTGGACCGACTGGACCGACGTCTCCCTGACAGACAGAAGACGTGCACACACTCAAACACATATACATCAATGAGTCAGGTCAGCAGGCTAAACTTCTCTTCACGCTCGCTGGCACCCTGTGGACTGAAATTAAAGAAGCCTCATCCGACGGAGCATTCAGTCCCACTGAAAAAGTTAATGAGAGAAAATCTTAATTGTGTTTGATAAGCGGGCCCGGAGGATTGAGCGTGCAAGAATACCCGGAATAATTAATTACCGGCGTTTCCATGGAAGGAAACATCAAGAGAATCATGTCCCTCTGGGTGACTGACTTATTTGAAGCTGGTTAAGATACACGCAAGCAAACAACTGACATGTGAGGTCGTGACAAAATTGAACAAGGTGATGCAGCATCCAAAGTTAGATTGTTTAAGCACTAATTGCCAAAACCTAAATAGCAGACGAGTAACTCTTTTACTGCCCTAAACAACTTATCAGACTAATAATTGTAGTAGTTGGGCAGCTTATGCCAAAAGAAGAAGTTATAATTCTACAAATATTTCGTGAAGGTACAGTTTTTTTCAAGGCAGAAGAATTTCTAATTGGCTGACTTAAACCTCACTATAAAGATCCAAAAAACAGAATCCATCTAGCTCACAGCTATCGTGACCTACATGGGCATATTTTCAACCAGTATTTAAAAAGTTTGGTGATTTCACATGAGAGAGTTCTTGTCTTTTATGACAGTCTTTTAGTTGAGCAAAATCTGAGTCAGAATGCGATGACAGGTGTTTATTTTATTGCTTGCGTAGGCAGACCGTGGCATCAGATCTAGTCAAATGATACCTGCACAGCGTCCTGATGAGGCTGATTCATCAGGACGCTTCATAATTATAATAATTGGGTTTGTTTTTTTCAACCTTTTCGCCTATTTAGTTGAGAATATTTAATGTGATACACCAATACTAAAGATCTAAAATGCTTTTTAGGATGTTTAACTTATTTCTGAATCAATTCTGTGTGAAAGTGAATCTTTTATCTGTAAGAATGTGCTACACAACTCCAATTGTGGTCAAGTTAGTGAGAAAATTAGTGATGAGAACTATAATGATGACTTACCCTGGCGCCCTTTTTTCCAGTTGGACCAATTATCTGTTGTGATGGGAGAAAGATGACTGAGAGCTCAGTAACAAGTGCTTCTATTAATAGAGTTTAAATGAGTGACAGTGTTCTTACTCCCTTGGCAGGATCTCCAGGGACTCCTCTTGGACCTTCATCTCCTTTTAACCCCATCGGCCCCGTAAGTCCCTGGAAAAGTTGAAGTAAATGTAAAACATTTTTGAACGCTCTGTGTGATTTCTGTTTAGATTGACAACTCCAACCCTCTCGTTCAAAAGCTCTTTTTCATTTTGTGCCCAACAAAGTCTTGTTTTTAATGTTTTTTTTCTTCAAAGTTAATCTTTTTGAATTAAAAAAAAAAAAGCAACCCGTATTACAAAAGACAGGAAGATGGTTCTCATGACGACATTTTTTTGCAGTAATCTCTTCTGTGCTGCCGCAAATTAAAAACCACTGAAGCAGGAAAAAAATGGCCCATTTGCAAAAGATACCCATTGAGGTTTGACAATTTGGCTCAGAGATCGTATGCAATCAGGAACATCTCCGATAGAGCCTAATCTTCAAAACCCAGAACAAAGTGACTGCCTCATTTGCTCATTTATCAACCTAAATGTCTGTTTGGAGACATTAGAGAACAGATATTAATTAGTGCATCACTGGCTCTTCCAGACAGCTTTCGGAGTTGGTCCCAAATAAACATAATGCATTTGCCTCAGGCTTTTTTGTAATCAAAACTGAATTGCAAATTTGTACATTATATGCTAAGGTGAGTCACTGGAGGGAGTTATGACTATGTAGATTTGCAGCCCAAAAAATAGAATATAGTGTTTTTTGTTTCTTGTAATTATAATTGAATTCAAAAAGATTAAGTATCTTACATTCTATATTTATGACATGTAAAGTAAAACATCTTTAAGATTTTTTATTTTTTTTGGATGATTATGGCTTACAGCTCTCACAGCATTTGAATATTTCATTTCCAGTTTGAGTGAATGACTATTTAAGCAGACTGCATGCATTGTATTACTCAGTCAAGTTTGGTACATGCAAGCACAATCATGGAAGAGACTGCTGACTTAAATGTTGTCCAGAAGATCATCACTGGCATCCTCCACAAGGAGTTTAGGCCACAGAAGGTCGTTGCTTAAAAACAAGGCTGTCTGTTGGCAGAGTGCTGAATCAAAGCGTATTCATAGAAAGTTGACTTAAAGTATGGCAGGAAAAGGTGCAAAAGCAGCAGGGATGACTGCAGCCTTGAAAGGATTGTCAAGAATAGATGATTCAAGGACTTGTGAGAGCTTCACAAGGACTGAGGCTAGCGTCAGTGCATCAAGACTAAAGGAGCTACAACTGTTACATTCCTATTATACAGACACTCCTGAACCAGAGACAATATCAGAAGCACCCCGCCTGAGCAAGGAGAAACAGAACTGGACTGTTGCAAAGTGGTCAAAATCAGCTTTTCAGAAGAGAGAACATCTTTCACTCTATTTTATGGAGTCTATCGAAAGAGTGAAGAGGTGCAGAAGTGTGGAGTTTCTGCAGCCTGTGAGGATTTTTGGTGCCATGTCATCTGCTATCGTTGATCCACTGTGTTATATCAAGTCCAAAGTCAACACAGTCGTCTACCAGGAGATTTCAGAACACTTCATGCTACCATCTGCTGGGAAGCTTTATGCAGATGCAGATTTCCTTTTCCAGCAGGAGTTAGCGCCTGACCACAGAGCCACTACAACTACCAAACGATTTGCTGTCCATGATATTACCGTGTTTGATTGGCCCACCAACTAACCTGACGTGAACCCCGCAGAACCCTATACGAGGTATTGTTAACAGGAAGACGAGAAACATCCCAAAATACAGATGAGCTAAAGGCCGCTATCAAACAACGTGGGTTTCAATAACACCTTCGTAGTGACACGGGCTAATCACCTCCATGCAACACTACATTCAACTTGTGGTAAAGGAGTCCTAAACAACTATTGATGGTGTAAATTAACACGCTTTTCATTTCATTTAAGATGCAGGTTTTCCGATTTCAAGAGCTATAAGCCATTATTATCAGAATGAAAACAAAAAAGGCTTGAAATGTTTCACATAGCGTGTAATAAATATGGAATACATGAAAGTTTCCTTTACATAACTCTAAAAAAAGAGAACTTGTTTCCAAAATTGTTGTTTTTTGAGTTGAACCTGTATATATTTGTCTTTAAAATGCCAACCTCAAGCTGCTACATGTATAATGTAAACTAAATCACATTTTATAAGACGTAATCTTCACTCACTGTGGGTCCTAGTGGCCCTGTTGGTCCCATCTCTCCTTGTTCTCCCTAAAAAGAAAAGAAAGCATTTGTTAATTTAACACTGACAAACGACATGCACACATACACACATTTTTGTTCCATTGTGATGAGTCTTAGTCTTAGCTGAATTAAACCGACTCTTTCATTTATCAACTTAATTGTAAAGCAAACATATATCAGCTTAATAAAGAGAGAATTAATTTGTGTGTTGGATGAACTCACCTTGTCCCCTTGCTCCCCTTTGAATCCCTTTTTTCCCTGCAGGTAAAAATAAATCACTTGCTCTGAATCCTTTCATCGCTGATTCTAACACAGCGCTCAGCCTTAGTTAAATGGGTTCGGCTTTAACTCATTAGAAGGAACCGGAATTAATTCATATGCATTTGAGGGTAAAACATGCAGGACGTCATTGCTAGCTACTGAAGTGGAGATTAATGATGGAGTGCACACCCGAGGTCCGATGATTCCCTGGATGCCCTGCTCTCCACGTTCACCCTTAAAAGACAAATTGCATGAATATATTACTCTGCAAAAAAAGTTTCTTTTGACTTAAACAAAAACTTGTCACATGCAATTAAGATACAAATTTATGTTAAAGTTTAGTATTTGTACCTTTGGGCCAGCTGGTCCGATTAAGCCAATATTTCCCTGCAAAACAGAACGTCAAACAGTGAATATGTCTGTGCAGATTCTCAGTCATCCAGGTCATGGTAATCTGAGGAGCTTCAGATAAAAAGCAACAGGACTTCTCTTTTAGACTCTTGAAAATGTTCCACCTCTCATCTAAGAGGGTTCTTAAGTTCAGAACTAAAGAAGCCTCTTCAGAAGATCCTGGTTTTCATTAGTTATTTTAGCACTTCAGTGTCTGTGCTGTGATGTACCTTCTCTCCTGGTTCTCCACGAGGACCCTGAATACCTTGAATGCCAACTCCTTCGTCACCCTGCAAAATATTCATCTTTAGCAGGCAACGAATCCGGTTTGATATTCTTGCAGTTTTAGAAGCCTGGTCAAGTGCAAAAGCTGCAGTTTGTAACACTTTTACCTTCTCTCCTCTCTGACCTGGTAATCCTGGCACCCCATCAATGCCAATGGGACCAGGCAACCCTGCAATACCCTGCAGGAGTTTGAATAACAGTGTGAGTTTGTGTGTTAGAGGCAGTAAGAATGACACAAAGAAGACACAAAAACATTATTTTCAAAAAGGAAACTCTGAATAATGTTTAATTTGTGTTGCGCAATACCTTTCATCACATCAACTATGTACTTACATCTTTTCCAGAATCTCCTTTGTCTCCTTTCGCGCCTTGTTTACCACGTAAACCCTTTCAAAAATTAATGAAAACATGATCAGATATAAAAAGAACCAGTGCATGTTATATGACAAGATAAACTGATTATGTGGCCTTAGAAATAGGTTAATATGCAAGAAGACAAAATTTAATAAAGTAAAATTAAAGTAATGGAGAAATTTAGTCCTTAAAACCCAAGCAAACATTTAAAATGACAAGAGGACAGTATTTATACATACTTTTGCTCCTGGTTCTCCAGGATCTCCCTAAATAAAAGCACAAAAATTAAAAGCAGCTGAACGTTGTCTTGACATTATATGATGTAATGAAATGCTATGACTCATGAAAATGATAAAATAAAAATGATATGATGGCAGAGCACACACATATGTAAAATGTAAATGACAAACTGGGTGTGTTATTATGCTGGTAGTTTTCACAGCTTGTGCACTGCACTGATTTTCTAGTAACTTTGAATTTTACTTCAAATTTCCGTTACCTTAAGAGGTGTTCCTGGTGGCCCTGGTGGTCCTGGCTGGCCAGGCAGGCCTGGAGAACCGTTGACCCCTGATACACCAGGAGGTCCCTGAGGACCCTGGAACATGTAGTGAATAAGATTTTATTTGCTCTGAAAATCACTTAGAGAAACTCCAAAACACTTTTTGAGAACTTACAGAAGATCCTGGTTCTCCTTTTCGTCCGGGCACAAAACTTGCATCAGTGCCGGCTATGACGTATCCAGGCTCCCCCTGAGTGGACACATTAAAAAAAACATAAATCTGGATACACCACAGAACTAGTTTCACTGTTGTTGCTATGGCACTTATATCTTAAATATATTGATAAATCTAGTCGACAACTGTCATGAATTCTAATCTGAGCAGAAAGTATTCAGTCGAAATTAAATTCACAAGCTAGACTTACTCTTTCTCCTCTCTGGCCCTTTGGACCTGTGCGTCCAGGAAGACCCTACCAAGGAAAGATTCATGAAGACTGATTACAACGTGAAAAGTGAAAATACAAGATGGAACAATTCATTAATCGTTAGTAAAACAGTGACAATGTAAAGTAATTGCACTTCTGGGGATTTTTGTTGCGTGTTATCTCCACTTTTCTGTGAAGTGAATGTTCAAAGCATCAGCTTTTGAAAGAAATTCCAAAAAATCATCATGTCGCTAAACTGCCTCCTGCTCAATGAGTGCTGGGAATTATTTTGAAAATAATTCAATGATTTAGTAGATATTGTGACAGGTATGTTTGGGGATGTGACTGGCTTGACTGACATGTCTGCTCAGTCATGCTCATGGTTTTGATTCAGTTGTACTGCGGCACTCAATACAGTTTTGCTATTCATTAGCTTGCATCAATCAGTTTTCTGCTCACCATAACTTTGGCTTGTTCAGTTAATTGGACTTTCAAACATTCAAGAGATTCTGGTGTCCGCATGTCTCAGTAACTAAATGTTAGTTTTCTTTATGGTTTCCAGTTTTAACATATTTTTCTCGCTTTATGCCGTTTTTTCTTTTATTTAAAATTTAGGGGTGGGACTTTAACGCGTTAATTAACACGGAAATAATGCGTTAAAGTCCCACCCCTAATATACTTTAAAGCGTTAATTACGATTAATTACTTACAACAAAAATAACACGGTAAAAAAATTAATGCATTTAATCGCAGTTTGCATCCAGGCAACACGGAACGTTTGTCAGTGCCCAATTTCATGGTCCACCGATCACACTGATGCACAAGATGCGTCAGCGCTACGCTAACAGCAACAAACATGGAGGAATCCGATGAGAACGCATTGCTTGGACTGATGGAGTTTCATTTTAAAAAACTGCCAGATGGAAACCGTGACAAGAGCATGGTTTTGTGCAACTTGTGCAAAAAAGAATTTGCATACCAGCGAAGCACATCAAGCTTATGGTGCCATCTGAATGCAAAGCATGTTGAAACCACCAGAGCTGTAAGCGCGAGCAGTCCTGGAGAGCGATTAATATTTTTAACGCGTTATTTTTGTTGTAATTAATTAATCGTAATTAACGCGTTAATGCGTCAAAGTCCCACCCCTATGAAAACTCTTTTTAAAGTATACAGTTTCATACCAAGTAAAAACAGAAAATGCCCCAAAATACTTCCACTGTGTTTGATATTGAATACAAAGCTAAACCTCAATTAGACAGATTCATAAGTACAGCCTCTTTGAGCCGTCTTTTCTGTTCCTGCAATTAAGCTGAAGCTTTTATAATTTACTGCATATTATATATATTAATTATATATCGCATATGTACTTGATAGTTAACAGTAGGGAGGCAAAGAAAAGAGACTATTAGATGCACCAGAGGACCCTGGCCACATTCAAAGACAGGACATCACATTTATACAGTGTCATCTGAGTTTACGCCAACTGGTCCACCATTTAATCCTTGAACAGGTTTTCGTTTTATGAACACATGTGACATTTCGATCTTACCATGTCACCTGAAACGCCTGGAGGGCCCTGAAAAAAAAAAAAAAAAAGGCAAACGAGTAATCTTATTTTCAGGTTCAGATCAAGTCAATGTGAGGTTTTGTTCTTTCTGAATGTAGTTACCCGTTGGCCAGCAGAACCCGGGGGTCCAGTTCTTCCTGGTCGTCCTGGCAACCCAGGAATACCATCTGTTCCAGGAGGTCCCTGGCAAATTAAGACACTACAGTCAGTCCAGAAAATGAAATAACAGACTCATACAGCAAAGCCACACTCACACAATTACCACGCTGTTACGAGAGATTAGATTCCGTATCAAGAACAATATAATTGCAGCGACGTTTTATAGAGTGGACCGATGACCTTTTGTATTAACATTAACTGTAACTGAGTCAAAGGATGCATAACGGTAAACAGATTGTAGTTGATCTCATATTTGTACCCATTTCTGCCTTTCATGCTGAATACTTGCCAGCATAAATAGTTTTTTTAAAGTATGTGTCTATGTGTCAGTTGATTCTTACCCTCTCGCCTTTCTCTCCTTTGGAAGATGTGAAAGGGTCATACTGTCCAGGGCTTTGCCTGAATTTCTACAGAAGCAAATGATAACACCGGTTATTGTTAAAAGTTTAGTTAATGTCAAGAAAATTAAGCATATTTGGCAAAGAAGGGCAGAGAGGGGGCAGTGAGGATGCATTAGCTTGTCATTTAGCAGGTAGTGAATAAATCGGTAAAACATACCAGACCTCCAACACCAAAACCATCTCCCTGAAAAGAGTGAAAGAACAAAGGGAATAAATAACTCTATTTTACAAGAATATTAAAATCAGTATAATCTGAGTCAAGTTAACTCACCTTTTCCCCTTTCTGGCCCTGGGAAAACAAATAATTAATACGATTAACAGCTGCTCTTTAACACAACGTTAAACAATTCATGATTCTGACTTGAGTGGAGGGGAAATGATTTGTTTCTGCACAAACCTTCACACATTGGGAGGAGCAGGGACCCTCAGGCTTAATCAGCTCCTCTGGCTCCTCTGGGTCATCAGTTGGGGTGTCTAGCTGAGCAAACTGAGAAAAAAAAGTGATTAAAAAGGTATAGTCAACTGACTAAAGTTAGACGACAGTGGCAGAATAGGCTGTGTTGTGAATTCACTCTGCAGTCACGTCCTCCTCTGCTCTGACGTCAAAATGAAGTCAAGGACGGTGACGTGTTTTCTTCTGCAGAGTCTTTGTGTGCAGATTGAAAAAGTGCCTGCATACACCGTGAACCGTGGTGGCTATGTATGAATAATCAGCTCCACATGTGGTTGAAGAGATTCTTCTATATGTGCGTAAAGCGGAGTAATAGAACGATGAAATCAACTAAACATATGCCAGCTTCACGCATAAATATGTTGTCCTCCTACCAGGTTTTTATGAACTATAACGTACCATATCTCCAGGTAATAAGGAAAAAACTAAATAGCAACACAAACACGAGCTCACCTCATCATTTAGTTTGAACTCAGACAGGAGTTCCTCGCTACAGATGCTGCTGATAAATTCTCTTTCTATGGAGGGGAAGTCATCAAAGGTCGGCGAGTAGAAAATATTCTTGTAGCTGGTGGGAGCTGCTATTTTATTCAGCTCCTCCATGTCTGCGTTAGAAACTCCAACTGCAAGGACGCTGACTCCTACAGGGGACAGATTCAAAACATGATAATCCAGACTGAATATTCATTCTATATACGCTGAACAAAAATGTACATGAAGCACGAAATGTTTGATTGAACTCTATCCATTCTTTTAAACATAGTGGAATAAGTATTTGTTGTTCCAACACATGACTACAACAGAATGGAGGTCATGGAAATTTTGACAGTCAACCTGAAAGTAAGGTCACAAATCAGTAAAAAGTCACACATCTGAGTTAATGAGGTTGTTGCTGCTACTTGAAGGATGTTGATCGACTCTTTTAGAAGACTGGGTGAAGTTGGTGGACATTTTGGGGGACAAGATCATGTTGTTGGACACATCCATCAAGAAATACACTTTCTTACACAATAAATAGTGGAGTTGCAGACATTCAACTGTCTGGTTAAAGCCCTAACTAACATGCCAGCATGTCAATAGCCTGTCCTTCTCTTGTCATTGTGTCATTTGGAAAAAGCTGCATTTTAGGGTCGATCTTCATAGTCAAAGGAGTGACTTTGTACTAGCTGTGCTATATGACCAAAGAACCACCTGCCTACGGTGTAAATGAACCTAGTTAGAATGAGAATTTGTCACCAACAGCTCAAAAATGTTTTGCGCACAACAACAGAAATGAAATTCTTAACTTTCTCTCCAAGTCAGAAAAGAAGGTCATTTATACACTGCGTTTACATTTCTGTTCTGTCTTTTGTTTCGATCATTTTAGCTCCAACTTTTAATTAACAAAGCCCACTTGTAGGCTTTAGGATAATTTCCATTCGAACTGACCTAAAGCACGTGCAATCCTGGAGGGTGGCAACACATTATCTTGGGCCCTGCCATCTGTGATCAGAACCAGAACATGGGCCACATCCTGCCTCATCCCCAGAGACTCCTGGAACAGCTCCTGCAGAACGTAGCTGATGCCTTTTCCTGGAGACAAACAAAGGTTGTAGGAGCAAATAGCCAAACTTCGGGGCAGTCATGCTGATCAAGTCGAGCAGATCTAACTGTAGTAGACTGAACAGGATCAAATTTAACTCTGCATCTGGCTTTTGTATTTTCTTTTTTAAATGTTTATTTTTATTTTTTCACATAGCATAAAGTTTATCCTTTACAGCAACAGATCATCTCATACGGTACTGGCTATGTCAGCAGTCAGTGTGCTTCTAAAATATGTAGTAGCAGGTTCAAGTTCAGTGTGCTTCCTCTCCATCAATATGACAGCTGCTAGAGGCCATGGCTTCAATAGCAGGACCTAAAGACTGTTACAGGAATTACCTGTCATCTGATGGCAGGCGGCAAACCAAGACAACGAACTGTGCACATTGGAGCAAGTGTATAGTGTCACTAACCTGTTTTGGTGTTGCCCCCTCCGTAACGCAGCGCTCTGAGAGCCCTGAGCATAGAGTTCCTGTCTTTGAAGTCACTTAGACGGAATTCAATTCGAGGCTCGTCGCTGTAATGAACCACGGCTAACTGAGAGAAGACAGTAAGAGAACATGACCATCGTCACGGCATCAATACACTGACTTTTTGATCACATTCAGAGTAATAAAACTGACTTCATAAAACGTGTTTTGCATTCTTGTTGGCACTTTCTTTGCAGCAAATCTTTCCTCTTTCCACATGGCATTGTGCCTTATTCCCCATTTCTGCTAATTTTTGGGTCTCAATCTGCCCATTTGGAGAAGCAGAGCGCATTATGTTACTGCTAATGATTTTACAGGACTCACCTTGTGGGCAGCTATTGTCATTTAAAATTACTGCAATCGAGCCCAATTTGAAATTGCCCAAACAAAATCACAGCCAACGTGAAGAACACCTGAAGCCACATCTTCAGCACAAACTAACAGAAGAGAAAGGATATTTTTACTAAGTCACCAACCTGCGTGCCCTGTGGTCCGATAACAGGGAAGTAAGTGGCCACTCGGAATAAGAAGTCTTTCATCTTGATGAAGTTGTTGGCGCCAATGCTTGATGACTCATCCACTAAGATTACTATGTCTGCTTTGGTCTTTGCACACACTGACAAGAAAAGGACAAAAATACAAACTATAAATATACAGATTATTTAAAGTAGTTATTGTTTAGGTTTGTATCTTTAAACTACCTGGTCGTGGCTGAGTTGTTGTCTCTGTGCTCAGTGTGGTTAATCGTGGGGAGGTGGCTGCTGCTACTTTGGCTTCAGTGACTCGTGGCTGACCTGGAGGCTTCTTGGTTGTTACGGACTTAGTTGGTGCAACGACGACGGGGTGCCGGGTGGTCTTGGTGGTTGACTGCGCGACGGTCGTGTTGATGATGGAGGCAGTGCGGGAGGCAGTCGTGATGTGTGGGGAATGAGGCGCCACCGTAGCCTGCACAGGCTGGACTGTTATAACGGGATCATCTTGTCCCACTGTGATGTACAGAACCAGAACATAAGTGATGACAACAAAACAAAAAGTAAATCAAACTTTCAAGGTTTCTGGGGGTGAGTCGCTCCTGCAGCAAAAACGGGAGGAGTGATTCTGCACTGAAGCTACACAGAAAACAAAAAACACTGCATCCTCTCTTTGAGTTTCATTACGCTGCTTCTCTGCGAGATCTTCACTAATTTATTAGTAACTGTTAACTGATTTCAAACTAATGATGTATTCAATCAGGTCGTACCATTAAAAATTAAGGAACATCTTTGTTAGTGAAGACTTTATTACCGCGTCCTCCTATAAATGCTCATTAAATAAATATGAATCTGCAGAACCATCTAATTTAAAGTCAATTATACAAATAGGAAGTCTCACAACTGATTAAAACAAGGGGTAAGTAATATATTCACTTCCAGTTCTTTGCAGAGTTGTTACTTTGAGAATACACAGGCACATTCATCTTCCTAACATACCACTATCTTTATTTTGGTAAAATGTGAATGAATATCTTCCTGGTTGTCATCATTATGCCAATGCACATAGTTTGACCATCCTTCATAGAACTGTTGCTCTAGCTAACTCTGCCACTCTTTAATCATGTAGAATTAACAAATTAGCAAGCTAATGTTAGTCGTATCAGTTAAGTCAACTATGCAGGACAAGTTTGAACTTCAAAAGAGGAGAGGCAGCTGCCTCAGTGATGTGATGCCAGGTAGAACATCAGCAGTGCAAGTTGTCATTGTGGCTTGAACTATAGTGCGATTTCAAAATAAAGTATGGTTCAGACAACAGAGCAAAGACATGCCAGACCGAGAGTCCATACGAGTAAAGTCTTACATATTCTCTGATAAACAGTGCTGATAGGACCCTCCACCTCTCCATACACAGGTCTGATGGTGAAAATGTAGGTTCTACCATACAGAAGATCACCGATCTTGTAGGAGTTGAAGCCAGGACCCAGCTTCTCTGTTTTAGTCTCCAACACTAAAAGGGACACACGAAGAAGAAGTTAGTTGTCGCAGAGTTTCTAGGAATATTAAATAGGAAGTCCTTATTAAAATACATTTTAGTCCATAGTAATGAATGGAAGTAGTGATTTTTCAATAAGCTGAGGCACCAGTGTGTCATCTTACAGTGATGTGATACAACTGATCAAATAAGGAAACATACTGTGTTAAGATATGCCTCACTGGTAATTATATGTTTGTTTGTTGTTCAGAAATTCAATATATGAAGACATTTGATGTGCTATATTAGTTTTGTTTATGTTTTTCTTCATATTTCCCTTTTCAACAAAAAAGTGCTAACATTGACACTCAGTACATGTTGCAATAACATATCTAACGCTGTATATCCACTTTAATAACTGGGGGGCCTTGAAACAAATGGTTACTAGTGCTATCATATTGTACTTGGAATTTATCCAATTAAATATTGCTTTTTTTGTGCTGATGACAGGACTCATTATGCAATGTAATACAATTTACACAGAGTAGTAATTAAACTCTTGGGTAAAATTGCACGAGTGTTAATGTGCTAAATTAAGGGTAAAATGTTTGCATGGTTCGACACTGAACCTGAGATGTGCCTCCAGGACAGGAGGTATCCAGAGACTCCTGCCACACGAGTCCAGTTTAGAACAGTGCTGCTGTCTGTTGTATTCAGAGCAGCGAATCCATCCACTTTTGGAAGATCCACTGAAACACAAAAAAATCAAGATATAAACAAACAAAACAAGTCAGGGGCCGAATTTGATGGATTTACTAAATCAAACAGCAGGGTAAGGAACACTGAAGAGCAGCAACACTTCAATCTATGGTTAAAATATTTTGTTATGCACAGACATGGGCACTTGGGATGCACATTTCCAACTTTTTGCCTCCTCATGATAATTCCAGTATCTGCTGATAACTTCTGATTTGATGCCAGTGGTTTCGTTTACTCCAAACGGAAATTCTGTCTAGTGTCCAACACTTTATAGAAATGTATGTAAGGCAACAAGAATCTAGTTATGGCTGTCTGCAAAATTTAACTGCAAGCTTGCTATGACCCAACAAAATGATGAAGGAAACAATGAATTTGATTTGTACTGATAAAGAAACTGTTATTAACATAGCTATCACCCCTGCCAGTGGAGAAAATATATTAATGAAGATGTCATCAGAGAAAAAAAACACATATTTTAACATTTTCAGGTTTTTGTTTTTTTTTTATTTCCCCTGACTTACAGAGCCTCTGTAAGACAAGACTGGTGTCAATAGCCACCAAATGCATAAATATAAATTTACAAGATGACGACAAAAGCAGAATTATCACTAAGCTTTAAAACACTGTGGACCCATTTAGGTTGCTTTTCACTTTCAGGGGCAGGCAGGACTCACGTGTACGTGCTGTGACCAGGACTGCACTTCCTTCCCTGCTGCCCGCCACAGAGGACACCTGGATCTTATAAGCCGAGCTCTCCCGCAGGTTGCGGATGGTGAAAGTGGTGGCAGCAGCAGATACCACGTGGGACTTCTCTTCCCCCCCTAGTGCAGGGAAATAATTACATCAAGCATTTAGAGATTATGAGAGTGTGAAAAAAAACCGCTGTGTACTATTTTAGGGTTTAAACTCTCATACAAAAAGTAATTACGCATTATGCAAAATCGCAGTAACAAGCTGCTGTAATAGAAAAATTATGCAAATATCCCCAAAAACAGTGTGTATCTTAAGTATTTAAAGCGAGCATTCATCTGTACACCCATGTGACTACATCTGTGTGCAATGGAGTGTAAGCACGCATGATTGTTTATGAGGTCCATTACCAAGGAAGGGGATCCAGGAGATTTTGTACCCAGAAGCTCCTGATGTTTTCCTCCAAGACAGAGTGAAGGAATTTACTCCAATGTCCACAACCTTCACCTCCCTCACTGCCTGGATTCGCTCTGAGTCTGAAACTGCAGCTAAGAAATAGCATCATATAACCGTGTCATGTGATATATTTTTATACGATACACACATTTTCTCAAAAAGAATCACAACCAAAAACAGACCAAGAATGTATATTTAAAATTATTCAAATGAAGATGCATAAAAACTGATGCAAAGACATGAACATCTATGAGCCACATGAACGACTGTAGCTCTATTCACACACCCTGTCATTTTAGAGTAGAATCAACTCGGAACATATTGTAACACGTTAACTTTAACGCTGAAAATGATAGCACCCCACTGACTTGGCCTCGGTGACACATACTTCAAGTGACAGTCGCAGGAACTGTGGTTAAAAAGGGAAGGCCAAAGTACATGACCTGTCAGTCAAACTGAAACACCACAAGGGTGTCACGGCACTGAATGAAGAACTTTACCGTCCCTTCCCATTTAATTACAATGGCTACACAGCTGCACTGATCTATTTAAATCTACAGATGAATCATGATAAAAAAAAAAATTAACTGGAACCTCACATCAGTTCTGTACCTGTGAGCTGAGATAAGGAGATATCAGGTCCCTCCGCGTTGCCGTAAACTGCACGGATGGTAATTGTGTAGGTGGACTGTGGGTTCAGATCTTTGATACGGTGGAAGAGGACACTGCGGTCCAGGTAATGGGACTGAGGTTTGCCATCATCTGAAAGCATGCACACACACATAATTAAGATGTGGTAAATATAGTCTTTAACGGCTGTCTGACAGGTACACATGTCAAAACAGTAAAAACATGCCTATGGTAGGGCTGGTTTAGAAACGAATATGATGAAATACATCACCTGTATTCCAAGAGAGTCTGTACTCAGTGGCTCCTACGATAGGACTCCACTCCACATCTATAGAGGTACTCGTGTAGGATGTCACCTTGAAGTTGGACACGTAGCCCAAAGGAGCTGAGAAATGGGAGGAGAAAACATCAAACACCTGTAGATGTTCTAGTAAATACACTGTCAACGAGTAAGGAACCTTTACAGTGCATCCCCTGTCAAGGTCAGTGCCCTATCTCGCAAATGTAACGAAATTCTAATCAGAATTTAATTGCCTCTTCCTGATCCTGAAACTGAACTCAGACGTTTATATGTAATTGTGCTGAAAAAGAGAAAGACATACAAACAAATCTCACCGATCACATACAGGACTCACACTATTTCCTCTACAATGTGCAACAGTCATAAAATAAAGCCAATTTCTACATTCTTAGTTGAACAGTTTGCACATTCCTGCACCTTGTTATTATTTCTCTTCACTATCTGTCAACTTGCAACTCTTGCTTTCTCTTTAAATCCTTTTATCCATCTTTAGAAAATCTCCAGCCTGATTCCTCTCTAATGAAACTCTTGTCTCTCTCAGAGTCCCCCTTGGCTGTGCTTAAGTTGTTGTTATACAATTCTGACCTTGTAAATTAAATTTGCTGCTGAGTTTAACTCCCCACAGCTTGCTGCAGTGACACAGAAGTTTAGTCAAGAGCTTGTCAGTTCTGAAGGACATCACAGTGGGGTGTGTTGCAGCTACACAACCAAATGACACATCTGGCCACTTGTGTTAACCCTGTTTGACACTTTCAGCTACACTGTAGAACATTTAACAGGAACGTATTGGAATGAACTGATCATTTATTTTAAAAATTAGCATAAATACAGAGGTTTTGTTCATTTTAAGTTAACTAAACCCAAATTTTAGAACTTAAAAACACTACCATTAACAAAAATATTAGCTAATTTCAGGCATTTTGACCGAAAATGTTGAGATGAGGGCTGCAAGGTGGAGCGGTGGTTAGCACCGTTGCCTCGCAGCAAGAAGGTCGCCGGTTCACGTCCCAGAGAGGACACCCGGGATCTTTCTGCATGGAGTTTGTATGTTCTCCCCGGGTTCTCCTGCTTCCTCCCACAGTCCAAAAACATGTTGAGGTTAACTGGTGATTCTAAATTGTCCGTAGGTGTGAATGTGAGTGTGCTTGGTTGTCTGTCTCTAAGTGTAGCCCTGTGATAGACTGGCGACCTGTCCAGGCTGTCCCCTGCCTTCACCCAGAGTCAGCTGGGATAGGCTCCAGCCCCCCCATGACCCTAGTGAGGATTAAGTGGTGTATAGATAATGGATGGATGGATGTTGAGATGAATTAAACTGCAGCTGAAGGTTTAATCAATTCCTTAATTTAAGTTTTTAAAGAGTCAAAACTGCATTGTTTGGTAATTAAACCACTCATGAGACTTCTTTTGTAGCTCGGATAACCACTTCACAATAAAAACTGGTTGTGTGTCATTGAAGATGTGCTAAATTCTAATTCTGTTTCTTTATATCACAATGAAAATGGTTCCATGATGAATAAAAATCTTCCATAAACTGCGTGACAAAACAATTAATTCAACCTAATATTTTGGGCTGATTGGACTTGTTGAATTTAGTCAGCTTATTGTAATGTGACCTAAGTTCATTTTACTCAGTTTTTTAAGGCAGCAGCAAACTTAAAATGATTCACAGTGCATAAGTGACACTGTAAATACACAAAAGAAAGGTTTATATCTAGTGCTACTTATCAAAATGCATTGTCCAGAACATTTTAAGCACCCTAATAAGCCATTCAAAGTATTTAAACTCCAGCTTGGTTTACAGTTATGTTTACTAGGTTACAGAGTTCTTCTTCTTCTTGTGTATTGCTGCATATCTTCACATTAGTGCAACCTGTAGATCTGAGAAATAGCGCGGCATCATTGGCATGACTGAGCGTTGTGTCACCCAGATGCATGCATGCATAATAAACAAAATAGGCACCCACTTACAGAAAAAAAAAAACTGTTCCATAGCACTAATAGAACATTTAAGTTACTGTTTAAAGACAATTTGACCTCCAGGCACTGTGCAGAATAATTTAATTGCTATTTTACAAATAGAATGAAACATTACCTACACTGCTGTGAAGACAAAGTGGTTAAGTGAATGTAAAACCCTTTTGCATTTTTGTTGTGGAGTCTCACAGCCCTGCTGACTCTGGCTCACTGACATGTACTATGTGACACTGATTGGGTTTCAAAGGGGAACACTTGTCAATCAAACAAAGAGATACTTTCTGGATGAATGAGTTGACACTACACAGAAAGAACAAGAACACTACAGTATTAGACCTATGAGACCTCTCACAGCTGACGTTTAGACTTGTCATGGCAGGATAAGCACAAGTGAAATAGATTTCTGTTATGATGGCTGAGCTCCATCAAGTACCCCAGAAAGCCATTCAACTAAGCCAGCGTGCAGTTCAGTCTTTTTCTTTTAATGTTATTTATTACACCTGTACTTTACCTGCTATGAAATGCTACAACTAGACCAAAATGTTAGCTGTGATAAAAGGGTCTGCTGGAGAAGCCGCTGTGTTCACACTAAGTTTCAATATGGCTACTGCTGGGGAAGAGATGTACCAAATAACAGAGGTACTCACAAGTTCTGAAGGTAGCGCTTATACCAGGCCCCACCACAGATCCAAACAGCACGTACAGAGTCAGGACGTACTCCGTATCATGAGCTACATTCTTCAGCTGGTACTCTGTGGTGCTGCCGTTCAGAGCCAACTGCCTGGGACGATCCCGACCCACAAACTCTGAAAATGAAATGATTTTTCTCTTTAATTTATTACTCTCTAGTGACTTCTAATTTTTTGCCGGCTTGGCATCAGAGGCCGATCCTCTGCAAACAACCCCCCCCGCCCCCCTCAATATTTGTATTTCATCACAAAGCTCTGGCGGATTGCCGGGATTGAAGTGCCCATCGAAAAAGCATTTGGAAAGCTCTTGCCAGAGTGAGTATCTTACTGGGAAAGCTAGACAACATCAGAGAAAAAAAACTGCAGGAATGCTGCAAAAACAAACATAATTTACCCTCCACACCAAGGACATTATGGGGTTGTATGGTGGAACTTAAGAGCACGTACATCAAATTTTAGAATAACTTCAGCTCAACTTTACTTCCATTTTTGTGACCAGGTATTTCATGCATTCTACACATATATTTGTTGCTATATTCTGACATGCAAATGGTTTGGAAAATACCGCTAATTGACTTCTGTTTGACCAATTTTTCTGTTCATTTGTGCTTAAAGATGGGACTTTTCATGATGACTTCAGTTCTTGTTTTTTTTCATATTTCAGCTCATCCAAAACCATATACTACACTAAGTACTTGATATATTAAGCCAAAATATCCAACATACCCTTTTAAATATCCAAAGTTTATTTAAAAAAAAAAAAAAAAAAAGTTTCAAGCAAATCAGAGACAGGACTTTCTTAATGATTTGAGATGGAATAACCCAAATGTAATTAATATTGCATGCTTGTTTGGAAGCACGGTCCAACTTTATGAGGTGTAAAAAATACAGGAAGGTAAAAAGAGAGAGAGAGAGTGATGGAGAAAATCACCTGGTGTGGGTCCCCATGCCAGTCTGTATCCTGTGGCCCCGGGGACACTGTTCCATGAGACCACTGCAGCACTGGTGCTCACAGCAGAAACCTTCAGAGTCTGAACTGCACTACTTTCCACTGACAGAAACAAGGAGGATTTTTATTCATCTTATCCAGTTTCTAACTGTAAACCATATTGCCTGTATTTTTGTGCTTCTCAAGAATGTTATTTACACGTCTTGACTTTGACGGTGGTGATGGGCCCCTCGATGTCTCCAAAGATGGGGTTGATGGTGACGGTGTACTCAGAGCCGGTGTGGAGGCCCTGGATCATGTAGAAGTTGAAGTTGTCGCCGAGGTTTACATTCTCTATGTGGCCATCTACAAGACACAGAGAGACACATGAGCAGAGAATCACATCTCAATGAAATTAATAAAGAACCACTTTCTGTAACAATAGACATTTTAGCTCTTTTCCCATAAAAAGCTCATAGTTGACCACAGTACCTGGGGAAGCCCATGTCAGTCTGTATCCTGTAGCACCTCTGATGGATGCCCACCTCGCTTGGACAGTGTCTGTAGTGGCGTTCTGGACCAGGAACTGCTGAACTGGTACCAACTTTACTATTAAACACGTTAAAAAAGCACACATGCAAACCAATTTACACACATAAATCCAACATTTCATTGTCATTTATCCACAATATCATCGTCATGAAGGAAAATAATACGTTTTTTGATATGTTAGAATTTAAATGAATGTAATAAAATACAAAATAAACATACTGATCTGATACAATTTAAAGCAAACAGAGACTCTAGAGCTAGTCCTCTAGCATGCCATAAAGTAGAGGTTTGTCGCTTTGTGGCATTTTTTTCTGGAGCAACACCACCCTACTGTGGAAATATAATGGTACTACATGTTAATGTTTGCTTTCTTGCATTATATTTTCTTTCATACTCCATTAAATGACTTTGTCTTGCAACTGTTGATTGGCTACAACTCTACAGGCTTTTTTTATCTTGGGGCTAAGGGTACTTGAGCTTTCCTCTTAAGATAAAATATGTATAACTATGATGTCTTGACCAAAGACAATACACTTACATGTCTTGCCAACTAATGAAACCGGTTCGCTTGGTCCTTGGGGGTAAACAGCATAAATACTGATGGTGTACTTCTTATCCTCCTCCAGACTGTCAATCACATGAGAGGAAGTGTCTCCAGGAAGCAGCTGCTCATAAGTTAATCCTGGTCTGTTGGCTGCAGAACAATCATAAAATCCAGGAGAATCAATACCCCAAAAACACACACTTTTCTCTAAAACTTGTTCCTGTGACGCAAGCTGCTTTGAGTCAGACTGAAAAAGATGAAAAGCAACTTGAACTCAATATGACTTTCAATGAACAAAACCACGCTGAGCACAGTGCACTATTTTGAAGGATGACATCCAACATGGCTAATTCAGGAGACATTTTTATATTAGTGTGCAGTAAAATAAATTGCGATAATAGTGGTGAGGTATGTCGGCATACATCTTGGGATGAAGATCTTGAATCCATTGAGCTTCCCCAGAGGAGGTGTCCAGCCGAGGCGTAGAGAGAACAGACCCTCCTCAATAACACGGAAGTTTGACACCTGAGGCAAAGGGGCTAAAAGACAGGATAAAATAAAATAAAATAACAAAAAACAGATATTTGTGTATTTTCTAACAGGTGCAGGAGAACACGCTGAAGTGTGGCACTCACTTGTCTTCACAGTGATTGTCGCAGAGTCTCCTATGAGGCTCGGGTAGATGGCATACACTGTGAGGGAATAGTCTGTTTTAGGACTCAACTCTGTCACCACTGCTGTGCTCACATCTGCCTTCAGATCCATCTGTTACATAAACAGAAGACAGCAGGGGGAAAAAAGGAGCTTAGCGTGTGTGTGCGAGACAGAAAGTGCAAGAGAGAATGATGTGGAGAGTGAGACGATTGATCAAGAAGATGATGAAGTCGGAGCGAGAAATACCCGGAGGCAGTGCAATGACACAGAGATACACTTTTGGAAAGTGAACTTTGAATAAATATCCTGTCTTAAACTAAATGTATTTATAGCTTCACTTTCCACTTAAGTGTCCGGCTCTGTAAACCGAAAGCATCTTTATGGCTTGTTTACACTTCTCCGAGATATTCAAATGAGGAGGGATGTTTTTCTTTATAACATCATGCCAAAACTAAAATATTCCTCTTTTTGTATAATTCTCTGTTGAGGTTACATACTGCGTGTAGCGGTGTCATGTAAACACGCAAACAAAGATTCATGCAGACTGTCAGTTACAGGATTCATGTTGAATCCATTGGTAAAATGTTGCATTGAGTTTGGAGTGTTACACAGATAGAGTTGCACAGGCATCTTAGGTTATCGGCGAGATGACTCACTGCTGGTCACAGTTCTGACCTGCTGTTATGAGTTCCAGGCTGAGACGCCGATACGAGAAGCTTATGCACAAAGTATGTTTCCTTGAGTGGAATTCCTAAGAGAGTAGCTTCAGTGGGCACTGATCCCTGCAGACCTCAAACTGAGCAATGCGGCTCCGTTTTACAGAATATGAAAGATTCTTTTTAGTTGAAAGTCTTTGAGATGATTCATTAGCCGGACAAGGAGTGTGATGTGCAACTAATTCTATATTTAACTGCTTAGTCACTTGTTTGAGGTCACATCTCAGGTCGGGTCACAGCATCGCCTATTCTGTATTGCAGTTGGGCTCAAAAGCAACACAAACTATCATCCTATATGGACAATCCCTCACCTGCCTCTGCTGCAGGGGGAGGAGGTGTCCCTTGGTGTTCACAGGGGCGACGAGGAGACGATATCCAGTGACGTCACCTGTTGCCTGGCTCCATGTCAGTCTGACGGAACTGTGGGCCAGTTCACTAATCTGCAGGTCTCTGGGTCCGACCACCCGTTCTTCAGCTATGATTGGAAGAAAGTATAGAATGAGGGATGAGACAAAAAGAAAGAGTATCGTAACAGGGAGCCTAAAATATGCAAAGTGGTCTTGATGTGTAATTTGTGTATAAGATAAATTATATTAGTAATGAAGCTGTGAGAGGAGTGAAATAAAAGAAAGCCATTATTCATTTTTATTACACCTTAGAATTATCAATCTGAAAAAGCAAACAGTGCAAAGGCAGCCTTTTAAAAAAGACATTTCAGCTCGTTGTGAATAACTTTCCGAGTGAACTCACTGGGCTGGGAAGTTCTCACAGGACGTGGTGGTTCAGAGGCAGTAAAACACACTCTGCGGGACAGTTTGGGGAGGACGGTATCCAGTAGAGAGAAGTCAGCGCCCGCCAATAGATGCTCCTCGTATGGCTCCGACACAATCCTCCTCAGCTCGAACTCATCAGCTCCCCTGACACCTGGTCACAGGATAAACAAGAAGACGATAGGAAAGAAGTTTGGGACACAGCAACTGCTTAGTCTACAGATATTTACCAAAGCAGATTAGAAGTAAACTGAAAACGTAAACAACCAGATGTACATATATATCGAGATGCCTATGGGATTTAACCTGATTGATGCTCAATATAAACCCAGCTGGATTCATTTCTCTTTGATTTTTTTTTTCTCCATTTTTTCTACATATTTTCCTCAACACCAGCAGGGGGAGCTGTGGCATTTTGAATGATTTATATTTTTAAAAAGTTTTCATACTAATACACATGTACTCTGCAGACATATACAGGTTTAATCAAATACTCTCTGGCTCCTGTCTCAAGTTATGGCATTATGCATGCTTCCCAGGTCCCTGTTTATGGAAGCGGGCCATAAACGACACCTGCAGAAGACCCCAGTTTGGACTTGTTGCAGTTTTCTTGATGCAATAAAAAGAAATTTCACCAGTCGTGTTTTAAGTCTTTCAGTCCTCATTTAGCTGTTTGAAATTTGCACCTGGACATGATAAAACGGTTTTTGTTGTATGTAGGCGCTCATATCCATACATTTGCATCATCTGCACTACAACAGGCTCTACAGGTATACTGGTTATGCACGAGTGGACAAGATGCGTGTGGAGCATCTCAGCAGGAATGATGAACGAGAGAAGCAGGCCTCGGTGTCAGAGGTGCAGATGGGGGACACAGAATCGCCTAATGAAAAATGGCTGCGATTAGCGCACCATCGGCTAATGAGCAGTAATTATTGCGCCGCTGCCGGCTGCGAGGAGTAAGTCGTGGGCTTGTGTGCTTATGCTTGTGTGTAGGAGAAACACAGTAAGATATGTGCAAGTACATTCGTGGGTAAACAGTAGCGTGTATTCATGAGCGAGGAAATAGCTGATGCAACAGTATCAGAAAGTGCACCTTTACATACTCCTGGAGCTGGATTAATCACTTCCTCCTTGCACGCATGTACGCTGTTGTGTTTGCACGCACACATGCATGAGTGCACTCCGAAACAAGAATCTCCGACGTACACACAAATACCCACAGTGAATCCAATGAATTCAAATGTACAGGACATGAATTTCTAACTGCAAACACTGCAGATAAGCCGGCAGAGCTCGGATAAAATCTGAGGGGCAGCTGCAGTGGGGATGTTGAAGGAATTCACAATACCAACTTCCACGCTCACCTACTGCAAAGAGAGAAATTCCATTGTCAGCTACTGCTCTGACTGCAGCATCAACCTGGTCGTCTGAGCGTCCGTTTGTGATCAAAACAGCAATCTGAAGAACAGTGGGAAGAAAATGACACATGTAAATGATAGTCCATAATATAATGATCTACAGTTTATTAATGTAGACGTAATTTATTAATAATGACAATTTGTGTGCAAAAAGGTTTTAGGTTTTGCCTATTGTTGGCACCACTGGAGGTTTAAATCCACCCTCCAAACAAAATTCATTTGGGTTAAAAGAGCATCCAAGAAAACTGTTATTGTTCTCCGAAAAACCTCCACAGACTTTTGACATGGTTTAGCTCATAATTGGATACATAATGAAATAAATCAAACCCAAAGACAAAGTGGGATTCAAGGATGCTGGCTTGCAACTGAGACTAATAATGTGCCTATTAAGAAAAATTTACGCAGTTCATTCAAAGTTCACCCCTCAGTCAATGAAGAAGGTGGCTAGAAAAGCATCAGTACGAGATTATAGCTGCTCCTTTGCATGTGCTCAGGCTGTACAATTCAATATATCAGCCTAATCCCCAATTCTCTGCCTTCCCGCATCAAGTGTGCTGCTGCAAGATGATTCACACGTGCACTCAGAGATGGAGAGATGATTGGAATGCTAACCAGCTCTGAGACAGTATTAGACTGTCAGAGAGAGGTAGCTGATAGAGAAGGAGAGTTGTTGGAAGGAGAGTGCATTAGGATATTTGATAATGCACTTCCGAGACAAGCTTAGTTAAGTTGCAGACTATGGCATTCAGGTTAGGGTCCAAAGAACAGAGTAGTATCTATTTAACTTAATATTTTAACTGTCAGTTGATCTGTCAAGTACTTTCTCGATTAATCAATCGATTATTTGGCTTTTAAAACGGTAGAAAATGGTGAAAAGTGGCGATCAGTGTTTCCAAAAGAACAAGAGGATGTTCTCAAATGTCTCGTTTTGTCGACAAACAAAAGAAAATATCCAAATTTTAGAAGCTAGAATAACAGAATTTAGACTTTGTTTAGTTGGAGATTAATTTAGTAGTTGGCAAGGAACTGATTAGCCAATGAATCATTGCAGCTCTAGATTTAATATAGAATTTTTAATGACATTGTGACACATCAGGTTAGAGTCTGACCCTTAGTTGTACTTTGTGGAGTGTATCTGGCACTGCTGGGAAAAGTTATACTTCACCAACAGTCATTCAGCCAATTAGACCTGCTGAATCTGTGGTGGAAAATTTATTGCCTTTAGCCAAAGCAAAAGACCAAAGTCTTTTTTCGCAGTTGCAACTTTGTGTCAATTTGTATTCCAAGCATATAACAAGACAATTTAATCAGATTCACAGTAGTGTGAAAACGGTCGACCAGTTTGTTTTGCTTGTTTTTCCCACAGCGTCCTGCGGAGTAGAAATACAGACTCCTGACTAGTCATTTCCTCTCACACTGGGCCAGAGCAGACAGCGCATGCATGTGTTTGCAGCGTGGGTTATAATCTCAAATCAATCATTTCCTAGTTGCTTGTGTATCAGCATATTGTGAAACATTTAACAAGATTCAGGGGAAGAAGTACCAAACTATGCTAAACAATGTAAAAATGCAGTATCGCAAATAAAGGTAGTTGCCCTGAAATTTTCTTTTTTACACAATCACATCTCAGCTTTTGAAGCGTTTTACCTTTGGGGCAAAATCTCGACTGATGGCGGGGCTGAAAACAGATTCGACCAGAAATTGAAGGGCAGTGCCGATTCTCCTGGATCCACCCTCATAGCGGAGGTCACGGACGGCTCTGAGGACCTCCTCTAGCGAACTGTAGTCTGTCAAAGCAACTCGCATCCTGTATGGAAAGGATTGCAGAGACAGTAAAATAGGATCATGTAGAAATAACAGAACAACTACTTGTAAACAATATATGTGCATATAACTTGCCTGAATGACTAACAAACTGAAATAAGATACGCTTTTTATGTTTCCTCAGATCCTTGAACCTTGACATGAATATAGAATACAGATAAATGTATCCTCCACTTGATTCTCATCTTTTGTTAGTGAAAATGTATTAATAACAAACATGGCACTGACACCACAATTCATTTTTTCATACTTTTTTTTTGTTATTAATCCTTTAATGAAAAACTGATCTTTATCAATTATCTTTTCTTGACGAGACAGTCAAATGCAATATATAAATCAGTTTGATGGCCATCTGTCATACAGGTTGGTGCGCTGTCTTTCAATTTGCTTGTGCTTGACTTCTACCTCGCAACATCCCCGAAGACAGTGACTCCAAAGCGAACCCCCTCAGCTCCCACCACGCTGTCCTGAAAGGAGGAGATGATGGCTGAGATGAAGTCTTTGACTCTGGAGAAGCTATTCTGACCCACACTCCATGACTCATCCACCAGAAACACTACGTCCGCCTGCACCACCGTCCTGCATGCTGAGAGAAGAGTGATTGAATTAGTGTGCGCACAAATACATGTAACAAGCAGTGAAGAGCAGAGCAGGTACCTTTTCTTTTCAAAAGGCCAAACTTGCTCTTAGTCTATATTCAAACAGATCAGAATGAAATACAAGGCAAATCCTTTTTAATGTTTAAGAGATAAAGCTGGAGATTTAGCCATGTGCAGCAACTCAAGAGGTGTTTTATTCCCACGCAGACCACCAGATAGCAGTCTTGTTCCATCATGTCAAGCGTTTTCCTTTCATTTACTTCTGTCATGCAGCCAGAGCACCACACAAATCCCCATGAATTTTTAATGAGACACAAGTGAGCCAAAGAGACTATCAATATTCTGAGCACTCCAGCAATAAAACTTTAGTACAGCGATGAGGAACGCTTTGAATAATAAGGTAAACACACCCAAAATCAGGGTCAGTTCCCTTGCCCGAGCAAACAAACGCATTTAACATAAGGATCTGCTGGGTTTGGAGGGATTTAGATGCTTTTTAATGTGAAGTGAAATAGCTACACAACACTAGTGCACTGAGCACATGCGCGCACGTTCTGGCTCACACACACGCACAATCTGCTGCGTCTGCAAACAACCTTCAAGCCAATATTCTGGCAATACATATGCAATAAAGCAAAGTGACGACGGCATTGATTAGGCTAGTGAATAAGAGATAGGCATCGCTGATTGTTCTGTAAGTGATAAGTGATTCTCTGCTGTCCTCTATTTGATTACCGAGCTTGCTCTCCTCTATTATCTCGTCCTTCTTCCTTTGGCTGCAATCCCAGGATTCACTGGGGGTGACATATGTCTCCAGCCCATGGCGACCTAACATTATGTTCTCCCTCACACACCTATACATCTCTGGCCGTGTACCAAGGAAACAAAATATCATCAGCAATACCAATTTGGTGGCTTCTCTAGTGCTGAGCTATTGTGTTTGCCCGCATGGAAGCTGTCGCATCATATACTCAGCAACAGTAGACTTATTAGTAATGAGTTAAAACATCTGAAACAGCTTTAGAAGATACAACAGAGATCATTCTTTCCATCCAGAGTTGGGTCACACACACAGGCAGACAGCCACCTCAGCATACACATGTGGGCCGTTCCATTTATTGGGACGATTTTTAACTCCACAGATTTCTGTAAAAGCACATAAAACATGGTGGAGACTTTGACCAAAGGAAGCAGCTGGAGGCTGGTGTCTGTCAGACAGAAACAGACTGGGATGGAAAACAAGATCAATTGTCCAGAAGTTTGTCTGTCTAGGCTGGCAGGCGAGATCGACATGCCTCGGATAAGGACACAACACACGCTGAGGGATTAAGAATGGCTTTCTTGAAGGTTATCTATGCTGATATCTCGAAGGTTGTATACACCTCTGAGTTGGACCGCCATTGATTTACACATTAGATGTAGCTCAGCGACTTCAGCATATGCTGCAGAAAAAAAATCTGCCAGGAAAAGACACACTTTGAGAAATAATGATGCATTACTGCAATCAGACGCGACGAGATCAAGAGAGAAGATGTGAACCATCAGAGAACACATGTCTAAGAAACTCAAAGGGCCATCAGGATCTGATTTTATCCAGACGACTGAATGTGTAGAAGTTCCTCTACAAAGACACTGCAGGAATTCACAGAGAAGTGCAAACCCTGAGAGTGGAGCAGAAATATTAAATGACAGAAGGAGCAAATGCTGACAATGTTGATCAATCATTCCTCCAGGATCTGTTTCCAGTACCAGTCTCCCACCCCTTTTGGGACTATTACTCTACTCTACGGCTAAAATGAATTTCATGCAGCCTGTGTAGTCAAAATCAAAGGTATCGAAACAAACAGTACAACCTACTACTAACACGAAGGACTCATTCTGATGTTGGATGCTGTCTCTAAACTCTGATGAGGTCTTAACTTTCTTGTTACAGTCAGGCATCATGTCACACTTCACTCCATGCAGCCTTTTTGGTTTTGATTTGATGTGATTACCAGAAAAACTCAAATTATACTTAGAAAACACTTTCTTTTTTTTTTAGACACTTGTAGGCTCCATGTCTTGAATTATTACTTCCAACAGTGGTCTGGCTCTCCTAATTACAGTTGTGTATAATGTTTGGTAATAGGTTGTCAACATTGTCCATACACACATTAATCAAACACAGCAATGACTGCAGCCCTCGACACACATGTATGCGCTAAAGTTACTACTAACCCCCGCGTCCCTGCCTCTGGATGAAAAATGCAGACACAAAAAGGCAGTTTAAAAGGTACCTACTGTTGCTTTGCATGAGTTCACATCACCTGCTGGACACTCAAGGACATACGATGATGGAGCGGTGAATTTAACCTATCATGCTGACAAGGTGGGCCAGTGATTAAAAATACTTTAAATGCAGACCTGAGGTAAATGTGCTAATATGTGGGCCCACTTTCTTCCACACAGTCCAAAAACATGTTGAGGTTAACTGGTGATTCTAAATTGTCCGTAGGTGTGAATGTGAGTGTGCTTGATTCTCTGTCTCTAAGTGTAGCCCTTTGATAGACTGGTGACCTGTCCAGGGTGTCTCCTGCCTTCACCCTAAGTCAGCTGGGATAGACTCCAGTCCCCCGCAACCCTAGTGAGGATTAAGCGGTGTATAGATAATGGATGGATGGATGTATCGTGGTACAAAAAAATGAATAAGTAATGTGGGAACAGGAAGAAAAATACCAAAACAGTGAAGCTTGGCCTCTTGCCAGCATTTTTGCAATTATTTTGTGTTAAGAAGAGCAGGTACCTATCTAAATTAATGCAATTTAAATGATAGCCAGCACATAAAAACTACATGCATAGAATCATTATATCTGATTAAAATCAATCGAAAAGTTTGGTGATTTGCATCAAAATAAGGTTTAAAAAGTCTTTTTAGCACAGGTCATATTTATACTATGCGGCTTCACAAACACACACACGACAACAAAGAACAGCTTGATATTTCAAGGTTCAGTTGTTATAAGGAAAACAATTAGCTTGTTGGCAAGCGGGGTAGGACATATTATAAGACCTTTGGTGTTAGAGAATTCTCCCATAGGTTGCTATTCAGGATGCTTAACGTGGCGAGTCTCTTCCTTATAAAGTTACTCACTTGCTCAGAAAAACTCAACTGTAAAAATTCGAGCCATTTTGGCGGCATAGTTCGGCATTTATGCAGTCTCTGTTTTGGTCTCCACCAGCTTGGGAAGGAAGTATTTTTTTTTTTGCTTTACTTCTCTGTGCGAGCGCAGTTTGGTGTTGGGCAGGTACTCATAGCGGGTTATTGATTGGAAACAGCTGCAGCAGAAAAAAGCCAGATGAAAGTCATCAGACTGCCTCTCACAGTACATCTTTTGGCTGTAAAGATTAACCTAAAACAGGCAAAAAACCTGCAGACTTGGGTTCTCTCACTGTGATCTTCAATCCTTTCATTTGATTTATTGTTAATATAAAACACTAATGAAACTAAGCTGACGTCGAACTTGTTGATTCAAAACTGACCCCGTCTTGTACTTGATATGAAACACGAGGCACTAAGCATTTGCCGTATGGTGTGATGGCATATGAATAATAAACATCGGTACCACCTGCAAAGGAGTAGCAGCCTCAAATATATTCTAGGTCTATTTATATCCTCCCATAATTCTGCCCAACAACTTTGCCAATCACTTTCTGCCAATCACAATCCAGGTGGAGGAAATCTGTCTTTTGACTGGCTGATTGACCTTTTGGTGACATCCAATCGCACCTGAGACTAAAGTTCTGTATCTAGGGAATGGGTGTTTGACAGGCTGGCAGACAGAGTGCTGTACTGTACATGAGGCTAGCAGATGTTAAAATTCCCTGACAAGACACAGTCTGGAGAGAAAACTGGAGCTGGATTCGTGTCTGCCCCATGTAGCAATCCAGGTGTAGAGATTTAATGATGGAGCGCTCGCACAGACTGTGTTCATTGAGCACCTGCCCCTTCTTTGCCCTCAGCATCCGAGTCGTTCGATTCATAGATCTGTGCACAAAGCTGACAATCGGACATGTGGATTTGACTCAGAATTAGGCAGCTGATGATAAATAAGGCAGAAAAAAGTGACTTCAAACAAGAGTGAAACTTTAAACAAATCATTGCCAGAATGAGTGAAAGTGTGAGAGAAAAAGTTTGATGACGCTATAAAAAATGATTAAGAGTCAGAACACTAGCAGCAGATTAATGAATTATGCTCGAGTGCGGCGTTCAGGTGCACGACTGTCATCACTTACCTTCAGCTTGCGCCGCAACACTTTGATGAGAGAGAGAAAGGGACAGTAGCAAGATCCACACAGGAGAGCAGCCCATACTCTTCCTCGCCTCTTCTTCCTCCTTCGATCAGCTGCTCCCCCTCCCCACGTCGTCTCTTCACAAATCCACTTCTTAAATTCCTCTCCACAACCATCAATTCCGACTCTTCCTCTCTGCTATCTGAAAGGACGCAGATGAACAAAGAGAAAAGTAATTAAAGGCCCTCAAAGATAAAACGCAATCAGCCATTTTTTAATTTGTAAAGGCCTTGTAACTCTTGTACAGAAGTCAAGCGAGAGTTTTCCAGTAATATGCAAAGATGAGTTTCACATTGAGACGACAAACTTTTAAACAGATAAGGTCTTGACAGCATATTTATCAATCACCTACGTCCAGGTAGGCAACTTTTACACCATATATACATGAAAGTTTTTAATGCAGCTTAGATGTTTTCAAGTGAATCTCATTCGCTTCCATGTCTGTAGAACCGAGGTGTTAATTGGGCCAATTTAACTAGCTTAGCATAATGTTTAATTACATTGTTATGTGTATAGGTTGCAGACAGGGGCTCCCTGTAAACAGTTTTACAACAAATTCCACTGTCGCCAAGGAAATAAAAGCATCACAAAGGTTTTAAAACTGTCCTATAAGGCCCCTGTGATTTAAGAAATTACTGGGAAGTCTAAACAAGGGTGAGCATTAAATGTCACTAATAATCTATGGTTTTACACGGCAGAACCCCCCCACTCTTTAACTTTGTGCAACCAATCTGTGTTTGGAATCTCACAAGCCTTGTTTAATTTTTGTCAAGACACGTAGTCTTCTAAATGTTTGCTGGCAATTTCTTTCTTTAATTTCTATTCTTCTCAAACCATAAAGGAAAAAACAAAACAAAACAAATGGTCTTGCTTTCCTACACAGACATTAATGCCAGTGTTGTTAATACGAAAATGGCCTTTATAAGTTCAGCTAAGGAGGTTAAAGTGCCTCTGAATGAAGCTTTCTTTAAAGGCCTACTAAAATGTTTAGTTTTCTCCTTTTGCAGTCTAAAATGATGGCAATGTGTTTCTGTTTTTTTGTTTTTTGTTTTTTTAGATGCATTCTTAAGTGTTTTATATTATTAAAAGGCAGAAAAAGGATCTTTGGAGAAATGTCAGAAACGCTTGGTTTTGTCTCAGTCGACTGGACAGGTGTGTTGGTGTCTGTGTTTGATTGACAGCAGCTGGCAGGCTGCTGGAGTGTCGGTGTGGAAATAGAGACAAAGTAAGTAAACTTGCAAAGCAGCTACGAGGTAGACAGCGTTAAGAAATCAGCAGCATCAAAGTTCGACAGTGGAAGTGTGGGAGACAGGCGAACGGAGATAGTCTTTGGCAGTGTTTCTAAGAAACGACAGCAGGACAGGCATTTTTTTTTTTTGACATACAGATGAGGCTCGCTGGTGAAAGAACTGGCATTCTTCTCTGCAATCTGGGTGCAGTGGTTGTCCACGAGAGCAAATAGAGGTACAGTAATGTTCTGTGATAGAGAAAACCCTCCACTTTTTCCTCCTAGTCAGAGGAAACTGCAGGTTAGTATGAAAGAGATTAGCCCCAAGGCTACAGCTTTTGACTGTGGAGGAACTTCAGTCTCATTGGGACTTCAGCTGTTTTACTGGAATATTATCTCCCACAGAGATGTGTAAAGTGATATTTAAAAGCAGGCGTGGAAGCATCCTGCGGTGATAAGAACTTATCAAGTACCGAATTTGAGCTGCTCAGTCCAGCTCAAGTATCCTTCACTCAGCGTGTTAAAACCTTCCCATAAACGTGTACTGATGACCACAGAAATGTATCAACAGAAAGACCTACAACGCTCAGCTACATGACAACAATCAGCGCCCAATCTAACACTTACATCACCACATCACACACCAGCAAAGGAACTGTGCAGCCGCGATGGATTATCAGATTCTAAATGAATGAAGTAACCATCAGAGAGCAACACATTCTTCTAGAGGAATGGTTCATGCTGTTATGTTTTACATTAGGTTACTAATCCCCACAAGCCTGGGCATACACATAGTATGCATGTCTGTTACTGCTGTATGGGTATGTGCAAACTCATCAGCATAACATCAAAGAGAGATCTGCATTCGCTCAACTGCTACACACGACATGAAAACCTAACAAATTTCTTTTGGCTTTCAAGATTTACGAGCCATCAAGCTAATTCATCACCTTCAACGTCGCCCCCCTGACAGCGTATTTTTTAACTAGAAATTAATATGCTAATAACATCAAAATAAATTACATCAACGTGAAACAATCTGAATTCCAGAAAAATTCTCAGTGTGATTTGACCATCTGGTCTGACGAAGACTGAATGGCTGAAGGCTGAATAGTTTACAACCTCTGCAGATGGAAGTGAGAGCTGGCAAGGCTTGAACTCTAATGTAACACAGCCAAAAAAACTACACTCTTCCCCCTCACATACCAGTGCACATCTAAGATCTGTCTCTGCATGTACAGTATCTCCTTATTATTGAAATCCAGGGACCATAAACTCGAGCGTGTGTGGTGATGAATGACAGCCAGCGCAGCACGCAGTCAGTATCCATCCTACGGTGGGATTTTTACATAGGATCTTCAGAATAGGTGTTGAGAAAAGCAACAGAGAAGCAGAACTCGGGAGTCTTACAGTGGCTTGGATATGACGAAACAATTTTGTGAGCTTTTTCTCCTCACAATGGTGAAAGAAGTTTCCCGAAGCAAGCAGGTGATTCTAACATTGTGGCAAAATAAATGCATTGCAGTGTTCATCTAAAGGATTTTGAAAAGAAAGTTAAAGCATGACCCACCCCTACCGAGACTGCAAGAGTCTACGGTGGTGGCTCTGTGGAGGCACAGCACTGGTTTGATTTTAATATTTGCACTGATGTTTGGCAGATTCACCTTTTAGCTCAGTGTGTTTGTAGTATCTGCTCTTTCGCAATAAACGGAAAGAACAACTGCAAACGGACAGAATTAGTTTTCCAGGCATTTGATCATAAATCAAAGTATGATGGCGATGGTGGCTAGTGGAAAAGTCATGGGATCACCTAAATTACTACCTAAGTCCCCCACTGGGAACCATTAACATCTGCACAGAATATCATGGCAGTCATTCTAGTGGTTGTTGAGATATTTCAGTCTTGATCAAGGCGATGGACCAAACAACCGGCATGGACTCCCTGCCAAAGATCACAGCTCACAACAACAATACTTCAAGACATTCCTGCAGTGTCTGCACTCGTAAACTCGAGCCCTATTACTCAGACGCACAATGATGCCGCATCAAAAACATTTGCACAAGACCGCGTCCATCACTCTGACCACAGCGGGATCACAAGCACCTTGCTGCCTGGCAGAGGAGAGAGTGCGCTTATTGTGTCTGAGGCCTTTAGTTTATCACTGCCCCGAGAGGATTAAATAATGTTACAAAATGAAGTTTACTGTCCCTGGCCCTTACACTCCCTCTTTGTTCCCTATCTCCATTTCTCTCTCACACACACACACACACACTCGCTCACACATCGCATGCCTGCAAGTCTAACTGCACGTCAGCTATTTCTACATAATGGCATTTTCCACCTCACCACTTCACAGGATGGATTATCCCTGTAGGTGGGAAACTGGTAACAGTGAAAAGGCACACACACACACACACACACACGCAGCTCAGAACTACAATGTGTGATAGTAGATGTCTTTAGTGCAACACATCAAGATCCACTGCTAATTCACGCGCTAACAAATTAAAGCGCACACTCTGCCGCTGCTCACAGGCTGCAGCCTAACTGTCTCAATAACACTCGGAGTCAAACAACACAGACAAGTCTATGCACGGAAGGGGAAATATCCTGTTTCACTCCGCATAGTTTCATCTCCCGACAACGTGCACACAAACAACCCGGTATGCTCTTATTATTCATGATACACGAGAGCTGACACGACTGTAAAATGCATGGCATCTTCTTTTGTTTTTTATGCTCGCACTGAATTTGAATGTGTAAAATCTGCAGAGGAGCACAAAGAGATAAACACACGCAAGCAAAGGAAATGTGTGCATACGTTGGAGTGCGTGCTCTTTAACGGAATAAGATGTGCATTTGCAGCAATTATAGCATCTTATCACTGTAAAGCAGTTGAGACGATGAGCACTAACATCAGACAGGTTGTGCTGTTTAAGGAGAAATTTTACTGTAAGGAGCAGCAGTAATGGCTTAGGATAAAAAAATAAAAAGAGTGTTGGCCTCAGTCCAGACAGTTAGGGTGCAACAAGGGTATCTGGGCAGTTAAGAATTCAAAACTACTCTGTAAAGCACCATATTAAAGTGCAGTTAAACTAATGGATTTTCACTATGGCCCTAAAATGGGCCCATTTTCACTTACCACTGCTGACAAGTCATTATCTTCCCAATCCAGGTGACTTCTTGAGGGTCAAGAGGGAGGGGGGGGGGATACCCCCTAAAAATACACAAACACACACACAAAAAATGGTTAATCCAAAGTCAGGCAAAAACAAATTGATAGTGTATCCTTGTCGAGGTGATTAACAGAGATTACTGACTAAACGAGAATCTGTGTGATAGAGGAGGAGGTATGTGTTGCAGAGTGGATGAATGGCATAGACTTTCTTTCCCGGGCTCTGCCGAAGCACAGAAAAGTTTGGGAAGAGTGTTGGGGGTGGGGGTGAAGCTGCTGCAACCTGTTGGCTCAGAGAGAGGGAGAGAGAGAGAAAGAGGGAGGGAGAGGGAATTAGATACAGACAGAAACACCAGAGAGAGGCTGCTGATGAGCTTTGACCCTGTTAGAAATGCATCGTTACTGTTATACAGTGCATGAGTGTGGAGAGCACGGAGGTGTAGACACTGACTGCCAAGCTAAAGTGGTGCAGTAAAACGGTGTTAAGTACTCAGAGGTTAAGTCTGAATATTCCTAGAATCCACTAAAACTGTCTTGACAACACACACTTGAAGACAGGAGCAGGCCTTTGAACAACTCCTGCATGTTGGTGCAAATAATGTACAAGATTTGACACGTTAGCGACCCACTGCTTCTTTGAGTTGTTTGCATTTCAGCTTCACATAGTAAAATATTTTTTGATTCTAAATAAAAAAAAGAAGCTCTCCCTGGTGCAATTTTAAGAACAAATGCAGCCCTGCTTTTGTACAACGTTCCATTCATCCTGACAATACATTATGAAGCATCAAATAAGCAAAATAGCAGATGATTGAAAGCGCAGCCAAGGTCGGTTTGTCGAAGCGCGAGCTCTCGTATTCCCTGCATGCTTGTGTATTCAAGGTTTGTGAACTCACACATAAAGCCAACCAGAATAGCTTGTAGAGCAAACACCTTCTCAAAACAGAGAGAGGGATAAATCTGTCATGTTTTACAAGCCCCCCTCTCGGTCGGTTTGTGTGTCTGTGTGTGTGTTTTGCGTATGTTGAGGGGGCATCGGGTCGTCTTTAATGGTCGACCCCAGGAATGCGGTGGCCTGTTTAATAGGGTTTAGCCAGCTGTCAGTCTTGACGGGCTGTAACTCAACGGACACACACCACACAAGGCGGGGCCGGCTGATCTGCAGATTCAGATAATAGTGCAGGGATGGGAGATGCTACGATATATGTATGTAATTACAGAATTGTATTATACATTTGAAAGCATTCATTACTGCACACACGGGTTCAAAATTACAGTGGCAGCTAAAAGTAATGTCTATCATCTATTTGCAGTATGTGCATCAGTGACTTCCACACAGGGAATCCTTGAGGTGGGAGACACGTTGAAAACATGCAAATAGCGGCGTCTGTGAAAAGATAAAGAAAGCATGCATACATTTGAATGCACATCTAACAAGTCGGTGGCTGCAAACTTAAATGAACAAGCTGGTAAGAAATATCCGAATAAATTACAGATGTCACGACCGAAGAATTCCTGTAAATACAGCAATGCAGCTTTTTAAATGTGCACTCTCAATAGATCAAGTTTCAGTGTGTCTCCCATTAAAGTTCCATACAATGGTGAATATAACGTGTATTGAAGATGTGTGTAGTCACATGTCAAGGTGTAAGGATTCTTTTTTGCATCCGTTTGGCACTAAATACTGCTACAGGATTAACCAAAGTCTTGTGGATGAAGGCAGCAGAAGTGTAGCATCTATCATGTAAAATACAGCACTGTTCACAGCAGATTCATTTGTGTGAAAGAGAGTAAAATGTGTTATAATCTAGTTTGGCCTGAGGGGCCGTCTGAGCTTCACGCTGCCCCGCTGCTGACCCTGAGCACATGTTAAGGAAGTTCAGGAGGGAGCATCAATCAGGACCACTCTCACTAGACAGTCAAAGGTCAGCGCGCATATCTCTGTACATCTGAGTTCCCCTGTGATACTGTAAAACGGGCCCCAGTGCGAAGAGACGCTTCCGCCGCTCATGTTAATACTGATTTCAGCGTAGGAGAACAAAGCCTAAGAGCTTCTCACTACATCAACAACCCCAATGAAAACATTCAGCACTTTACAGTCTCAATCACCTCTTAATCTCGTTTACATCATGGGTGACTGAGCCTGACTGTCTTACAGCAGCAGCAGCAGCAGCAGCAGCAGGTGTGATTAGAAATAAAAGGTGTTGTGGACCTGTCGGGGGTATTCAAATAGGGAATATTAACCAGCCTTGTCGCAGCTAATCGCACTCCTTCCCTCTTCCTTCTCCAAGTGGGCCTAAATCCCCCCTCTAGTCATGAGAGGTGCTGGCACGAAATGCGAGCTTTGATTAAATTTACGCTGTAGGCTAACCAGAAAACAATCATGTGCTTTGGGAGTCAAGAGAAAGAAGAAAAGAAGGGGAGTCGAGGGAAAGCACCGTAAATTAACAAAGCCATCAGGGGTTCAGAGGAGAGGGTGTGTGAGTTGGATGAGTTATTATGCGGTTAAACTGGGAGTACATATGGAAAAAAAAAAAAAAAAGTGTGCACACATGGCTAATTTAAGGTTAATATTTGTGTGTGTGTGTGAGTGTGGTCGCCATTCATTAGGAGTCCAATGGCATGGGCAACTTTAATGACAGCCAAATACGCCAATCAATCATCAGTAATTAATTGAATCCCAGGCTATTCAGTGTTTGTTTGTTGTTGTTGTTTTTTTTTTTTTACATGGGAATTAAACTTTCCTCTCTGGCAAAAAAGGTAAAAACAAAAACTAAAAGCTGTATCAGTTCCATAACTAGTGTGTTTCTGTCAAGGCCACCGACAGTGCAGGAAAGTACAAGTTAATGTAATTACCTATTAATATTCTTTTTGGAAGAGCTTTGGTCATTCACCATTCATGCCTCGTGGCAGCTTTTCAAGGAGCTTCAGCTTCTAATTTGATAAAATACACATTTAATGCATTTCTGAAATCTTCATTTCTCCACCTCTTTTCTTTTTTTTTTTTTTTTCTTTTGCTCCACTGGCTCCATCACAGAGGTTATGAGAATCAAACATCACATTAGCCGCTGGTTGTAAAGGCACTCCGTTAATTGTGCAATTTCTCACATAGCACTTTAATTATGTTCAGTTGAAGCTTTTGAGTGGAAATTCAGAATTATTTCTTTATACAGCGTTCCGTATAATTGGTAATATTACACTAGTATCATTAGCTTAAGCTCAAAAAATGAAGTGTTATTTTCTGAGATGTGCTGTAAGCTAAACTTTGACCACCTAGACTTTGGAATATTTTACAATTAAACTTTCAGAATCAGGACATGTCACCTGCTGCTGCAGTGTGAAATCAGCCTCCAAGGCTTGTTTTCCCATGCTGCTATTTCATTTGCTTTCCTGCCTTCTTTTGTGCGCTGTTAATGTAATTATTGATAGACTGACAGCATGAGATGCGTGTCAGACAGATTTGATGCTTGTATCAGTTTCTGTTTAATGCTGTCACTGTTGGCACATTTGTTGGAGTTTCACACCAGGAAGATGGGCAGCCTTTCTCTGGCCGGAGGCTAATGCAATTCTGACTCACATCCATAAACCATACAAGCTGGGCAGAGTGCCCACTGCTGCCAACTACAAAAGGTCTGCTCTGTGCCAAGCCTTTTAGCAGAACAAACATACATACAAACACACACGCGTGCACACATCGCTGAGATGCTCATACGGGGGGATCAGCCTCAGTGCGACAGGACGCAAACAGATAAAAGCACACGCAGACACACCCACACATCCATACTCTTGGTGTGCGCACATGCAGCGCTCCCTTCTTACAGACAATTTTTGTCATGATAAATTCATTTCACAAACCGTGCGACTTCATGCCTCAGACTGAGATACGAGCTGTCATGGCAACAGAAGAAAACAGCGGTTGCAGCATGATGGCTGGTTTGTTGGGACAAGCTGCAGCAGAGCAGAGAATTGAGATGCAGCAGAAGTCTGGGCTGAGAGAATTAGTCATGAGTGTGTGTCCAATTACCACTCTGAAGCTGACAAAGGATATCAAAATAATGAACAAAACCAGTTCTCTTCACTGTGCTTAAGAAGACATGGTGTCACAGTAAAGCCAATATTGGACAAAAAAGACAAAACTAGAGCTACACGTGTAGAAATGTGAGACAGTAATTCCACAAAGGCGAATGTTTTTAGTCGTGGATGTTGGACGTTGTTTCAACATCACCACAAAAGCTTGATTTTATGTTTGGAAATTAAATGTTTATGAAAAAAGCCATTTAGTCTACCAAGAGTCTGACTACAGACTATGCAGCTTATACAGCATGTCAGCTCATGCAGATCTGAGACACTGTGTTTGCTGATAACAAAAGACGACCCCTTGTATCACAGGAGAGATAGTTTACATGCACATGGGATTTTTTAGGAACTAGACAACCCCAGAAGGTCAAAGGCCAGCAGCTGTCCACACTTGACTTTTGAACCTTCCAGAGAACCACAGAGACAAAGAGGGAGGCAGGGAACGGGGTTTCTTTTGTAAGATGGGACGAGGCACTGCGCAACTTTTTTGAAATTCATGACATGTAGACATGAAGTGTATTTCGGTCTGCCTGACTCTGAGCCTGTCACTCACAAAAAAAAGAGAGATTACCACTGATGGAAATGTAATTGCCTTCCATATCACAACTCAAAATATAAGAGGAATCCTACAGAATCAAGCTGCGTGAAGCCATGTTCAGCTTTCTTTGTCTGCTCGCTTCATACTCCAGCTCTTGCGCAGGATTGGATTGAACTTGCTGGAATGGTGTCTAGAGAGAATTTTAACTGTGCATATATGATGATGCTTGGCTGGAGGGGAAATCAAAATCCTTCAGTCAAAAAAAAAAAAAAACCCACAACATTATGCTGTGTGTGCGTGCACTTTCATTCATATAAGTGTTTAATTATTTTTGCCTGATTTATCAGCCAGGGGGCCTGTCTGCCTGCCTGCCTGCCTGCCTGCATGTTGCACACCATCCTACACACTCATGCACACTGCTCTCACTTGG